GATTAGGCCTGATTGAAAACTAACTGCCACATACCAAAGGCAAGATTCAGAACACTTTCCGGTCACGTGCAGTTCCTTTCATCCATTTCGGAACACTTTTGATTCCTACGATAGATTTGGCAATTAGTTGCCCGCAAGATCCAATTAATTTGAAACAGAAGTGCTGTCCCAAAACATTTTTTCTGTTTGCTTAGATCCACAGCGATTACAGCTGTTCATCGTTTAAATTCTAACGCTGTATTATATTATAATGGCAAGGCATTCATTATCTCATTATTTTCTAGTAAAGACGCGTTGGAAAGAATTCAAGCATTAAATGATGTCCACCTTCAATGAACAAAAACGTACCAGCCATTCGAAATTGCGGATGAAGAAGGGTAATCCATCTCATTATGTTTTCAACGCTGTACGGAGCCCTGGTACATGTTTATTGTGCGTGCACTGGTCTTAACTATTTTCATCAGATAGATGATACTTAATGAAAGACACAAGCTAGGCAGAGTAAAATGTTTATAACATTGTAACCACAGGTGAAAACTAAAACTGCTGGACACCTTCGGATCGACAGAAGAGTCAGTTTTGTGGCGATCATTTCCACCCTCCCCTCGTGTCCTCTAACGGGAAGGCGACAGGTATCCCACATTGATTTCAATTTGTTACAATTAATAAAATTACTTGAGAAGCACATTTGGGTCGGGATTTGACACAAAGAAAGCCGTCAATTTACATAAATCATTTAATAAGTTTGGAAATTTTAATTTGCTTTTCTCCCTTAAACTTGCTTTGGTCTGCTGGTTACGTGTCTGGATACAGCGCGACATCGGTGCGTTACGCAACAAAATATTCATTCAGTGCAATCCATAGCCTTTGACAGGTAAAAGAATGGTACAATTTTATAGTGAAATACGTTGTCTTTCAAGTGTGAAAATAGTTTCATTGTATTTCAGTTTTGTAATTGAACAGGTAATTCAGTTGTGACCAAGTCTGTCAGAGTGAACAGACGAAACAATCACCAAGCAAATCAAATATTGTGGATCTATCATAAACTACGTTGTCTTTCGCTTGGAACAATTACAATATAGAGAAGACATTTGATCGGCAACACTAACATGATGAGGCAACTTGTAGTCTGGTTGGTAGGATTTCGACTCAGAAACCGTTGTTATTGTGCAGGCATTGTTTTACTTGTCTCCATACTTTCCGTAACTATTCTAACATCGGGACAGAAAGAGGATCAAGCAAACTTTGTCAGAGAAAAAACTGCTGCTGATGCGTGCGCTCCAAATGAAGTACGAGAACCAACAGTTCAAAGATGTGACTCAACCACGCTAGTACCTCCGGCAAACACTGAAATTTCCCCTGATTTTTCACTTGATTCGGAAATGAACGCCGAGTTTAGCATTCCAGCTATTCGTTTAAAATATACTGACCAACAAACGAAAATGAAAGTGCTTCAACAGGTTGCTGATGAAACTAATATCAATCTAAGCGTGCTTGAAAATTATAGGGCGGAATGTGACATGATGCTTTTTCACGACCACAGCGATACGTTTGGGAACCCAGGCACTTTCTCTTGCTATGTGGAGAATACCCTGTCTGACTGCGACGGGCCAGGCTTCGGGTCGACAGTGTTGTTCTCGGTGGAAATCCTGACGTCTTGCCTAATACTGGGCGCTTCGCCGGTGGTCAAATGGTATAACTGCGATTTTTGTGGGGCGGAGTCAAAGCAGCAGGCCAATCACTTCTTAGCATTCTTTCAGGATCTCGAAACAAAGACAGAAACTGAAGCAGAACACAAACTTTGTATTGCATCAGGAATTCCACTAGTGCAGGCATTTGGTAAGGGCGATTTGGTAGATCTAAGTTTTAACGCCAAAGTAAGAAATAAAGTATTGAATGAGTATAGGTCCGAGGCAGAGATAACCGACAGAACAAGGCTCTTGGCTCACTTTGTGCTGACAGAATACTTTAAACCAGTGGAATCTATCGGGAATTATGTTGAAGAGGCATACAACAGTAAAATGAAAGGATATTTCAATATCGGAGTCCACGTTAGAGCCACCGATAGGTGGACTGAAATGGACAAGGTTAGTTCACTAGAACACTGGATTTCTGAAACTAAAGAAGTGATTAAGACAGTGTTAAGATCAGATGATGCAATCCTGCCAATTTTGAAAAGAAAAGGTTCGGCTAGGGAACCGTCTCCTGTCAGTTACGAGTCTATACGGATATTTTTGGCAGCAGACAATGAAGAGGCTATTCTACGGTTTAAGAAAGAGTTTGGCCATTTAGTGTTCTGGAATAACGGTGACAAGGTTGCAGGTTTTTGGGCAGATTACCGCCTTAGCTACAAGAACCAACAGCTCGAAATTGCTAATGCCCAAGTGGTTCTTCAGGACATTCTAATGTTAGCTAAGTGTGATCTGTTTCTGCACGCAGAATCCAGCATATCCGCTCTAGCTCACTATCTAAACCTCGATTTGGTAAGTTATTATGTTAAGGCTGAGGAACCAGGGGTGTGGATGCCAACAACAGCCCCGCCCAAGACGCGGGCCGAACTGAAAGCCGAGGTAGAAAAAACGTTAAACTCTGCTAGTGAACGCCTGCGGTCCCAATTTATAGAAAACGACGTAACAACCACCATGGACAGTTGCGAATTGGATAGGGGGCCTAACACGTACAATGACATAGATGCTGCGATTTGTTTTGGTAGACATCGTTTTAAATCACAATGCCTGGGCACACGAAACTTCATGCTGTCTTCTGTGAAAGAGGTCATTAATTTAAGTAGAAAACCACTGGTTTAGTATGTGCATGCAAATTGTCCGCATTACATTTTCATAAAGTAAAACTGTGTCGGATGCTAACATGTTTGTGTTCTTGGGCGAATAAAGCTTTTCATTCGTCCAAGATATGTTGCAGGCAAGATCTGAAGTGGCCCAGGCCGAGATCCTGATCTTGCTTGCGCCATATAGGCCTAAACAATGCTTAAAAGACACATGTCTTGATATTTGCATATTCATACTTTATTTCCTGTTTGTTTGATTTAAATAATAAATAATGTGTCATTTTGCCTTAAACTAATAGCAAATTTTGTCTTTTGACCCGAATAATGTAGAATATGTTGGATGTAGTTATTAGCATTGTATGATTGTGTTATTGTTAAAACACCTGAAACACATGTTTTCCTTGGGCGGGTTTTTAACTATATGAATTTTAATTTGCCTGAATTTGAATAAGTATGGAATTTCGTACATGCCTGAATGCATGGAATCATGGAACGACACTTACACCCCATTTCCATAGCTTTTTAGATCGATCTATCCCTGTGGGCAGTCTCACTAGATTACTGTCAGCTTGGTCGGCTTAAGCGTCTGTCCCGCCTACTAAAAGCTGTAAGGGGGTAATTAACTATGGTGCCCGCTCGGCTGACTGCAATTTAGCGTGAACCCCCATAACTTCTTGATATAGTGTGGTTTAGTATAATTATCACAGATGTTATTTATTCTTATCCTTATCCTTATAAGGTCACACTTTTAGATGAACTTTGTTCGTAAATAATATGCACAACTTATAACCTAAAACAAGCACGAACATAATAGGATAATAGGAAGGTCTGTAATGTGTATTTCAATAGTTCAATATGATAGGAATGAAATATCTTTGAACAGCGGGGCATGACTAGTTGAATTCCTTGCATTATCTTCGGCTCTATTTATAAATGAATAACAGTCACGCTTTTCACATTGCGAGTTGGAACAAAAGTAAGTCTTTAGGTGCGTACTGTCAGTCATTTCTGTAGAAGTAGCATAGAACGAAATGCATCAGCTTGGCTTATTTATTGGCTAGTGTGCAACAAGTAGACATATTATACATCAAGAACACTCTTGTATACATGTATAAACAGACAATCTATTTATGCATATGTTTTAGACACTATATGGAAGGAAAATAAGCCAACAAAATATTAAGTTTTCTTTACTGAATAAATACAAATTGCTCATTCATATATTCCAGGAATAACACACGTACTAAACAATGGGATCATAAGTATAGGGCCTACACTAAATATTACTGTATTTTCTAATAATGATGATAATAAACTGAGATGTATTTTTTTCATCAGAAATAGGAGAGGGGGGTGCAAATGTTTGAAGTAAGCAACTTTCACATATACAAATAAAAGATGTTTAGTCTAATGCTTTTGTTATTTTTTCTTCAATATTTTCGTGTGTAATATGCTCATAGATATTATATTCAACTAGAAATAAGAATAAAAACAGGTCGAGCAGCAAGAAAGGAATTCTGCCACCCCTAATTTATGAAACTATTCGGAATAAATATTTACAAAATCAACAGCAACAAAAACAAAAACGCAACGCGTTGTACATAACGACCTTACTAGTCTTCGAAATCGCCAGCGGCGGGACACGACATAGGTCAAACTCTTCTTGGAAAAATAAAATCATTCGCACTTTTAAGGTGCAGTATAACATCCCTCCTTTTTTCTTAAAAATTACTACGTTTGAAGGGCATTTACCATATCCAAAAGATTAGGCATGATTGAAAACTAACCGCCACATACCAAAGGTAAGATTCAGAACACCTTCGTCTAGTTTCTTCCATCCATTTCACAACACTTTTGATTCCTATGATAGATTAGGCAATCAGTTGCCCGCAAGAACTGCCCTAATCTTCAAAAACAATATAGCAATATAGCATTAAGAATTACTGTTCTTTCTAGCAAGTGGCAAACAGAGAGTCTTACATTATTTATTTTAAACTTTTTCATTCTTAATATCTGTTACTGCCTTCCCCTCACCCCTCCCTCCCACAGCAATGTACAGTCTTGAAAAGTTACTTTTTAAAGGCACTAGTGGTTCATTCCGACAGCAAGACGGTTCGCGTACCGTATTTTCTGAAACATTTTCGCTGCATTCTCTGTATTGCAGTAGATGTGTCAGACGCATTTCTCATCCATGTCACGTGACCTCCGTTAATTTACATTGTAAACATGGAGCCCAGTCAGTTGTCGTCGGAAATGGTGATTATGTGGAAAATATTCATGACAACATAAGAGGTTCATTGGATTCTCTGCAGATAGTATTAAAAGATTGGCCCAGGAAAGGTAAAACCGATATTGGGGTTGAACATATTTCCGAATTTGTTATAAACGGACTATGTACTATTGGACACTTGTTGCGGCTTTCTCTTAATGGCAGCCTGGAGCTTGGAGTGGACGGTAGTGGACATCAAGATAAACGTTATAAAGCCTATAAAGCCAGTGTTGCTTCTTTTTTTAAAAACAAAAACACGGTATTCAATAGCTTCGTAGCGGACACTGAGTTCAGTTGTGTGTCCTCTGCTCCTTCTTACATGTATGTCTTAGAAATTACGTGGTAAATGAGCCCATTTTAGACCAGTTCTAGGCAGTTAAGATATTAAGTATCAGACTAGATAAATAACATGCCTCTTGCACTCCTGGGGTGCTGCAGGTAGATTTTAGAGTCGATAGAAGCACCAGCAAAAATTATTGATCTCCGAATATGCAAGCATATCCATGAAATCGCATGACAAGATAGGGATACAGGAAGGTGGCTTGTCATTTAAAAAAAGCTTGCCTCATGCCCTGTCAGATCTGCATTATTGTATCCTAGTACTCTGCTTGTGTTTGGTAGGCTTTTACTTAAACTGGACAGAAATGTGAAAATTTTGATTTGTCTTGTGCATAATGTAGCTGTTCTTCTCACAGCCAGATTAACTGTTTTGCCTCAGTTCTAGGTGTAGATTGCAAACGAGCAAAAATGGCAAATTGGAGCTAAAATGTATCCTGTGTCTTTGACGTATTTTATATAATTTCATATATATTTTTCTCAAATCTGGAGATGTTCTAGCACAAAAATTAATGCGTTGGCACTCTTATATGGTTTCTTAACAGCAGTACATATCAGAACCCATATAAAAGAGTGCTAACGCGTGACTTTTCATGCAAGAGAGATGCCTACAGGGCACTGAATTTCCACCTGCAGCTTGGTTTTATCATTCAATTAGGTTCTCTTAGCAACTTGGTGAACCAATAGGTAAACCAAAAGTTGCACAGCTGAACATTTATTAATAACCCTTATCACATAGTGCACTGTAAGAAAAAGCTTAATTATACTACTGGAAAAAACAAGAAGATGTGTAGAACTAGCAAAGAACTGTACTCAGAATAATGGCCATACATTAAAACCTTATTGTGGAAACATTGTGGCTGTTTTCATTCAGGATAATTGGCAACAATTTATTTAGACACATTCTTTTTGAACTTGTGCTCATTAACCATGTAAAGATATCTTCCCCCACAGTGGATTGAAATATCCACACATTCCCCTACCCTAGCTCTAGATACAGATCCTGTACTTTGTGGTTTTACCTATAGATCGAGGTAAGTGATGGAAAAAAATCTATCCATCATCACCATATTGCATCCACAAATCCTGGCATCAAACCTACCAATGATAGCTTTATTTGTGAACTTGTTAAGTTTTAACATTATCTCAACAGGCTCCAACTTTAGCTGCAACAAAGTCGGTGAAAATTAACATCCATATAGGCCAGGGACAGAGAACTTCTCCCAGATGATCTTCTCTTTCTCCTGAAGAGAATCAAATGTATTAAGTTCTGGTCACTGTTTAAGATTCTGTAGCTTTTAGATGCATCAATGCAATCTTATATGTTCATAATGAACCTGCCAATGTTTCAGATCATGGAGAGAAAAGACTCCCCAGGAGAGACATTTTCAGGAAAGCGTAAGGTGTCTTCAGTTATAAGGTAACATTACATGTGATATACAAAATATAATTCTGTTGTATTAGTTTGCTAGTAGGTACCTAATTTATTAATATTCCTTTGGTTTGTAGTTGAAAACTAATGATATGCATAACATACATGTACTAGTACATTAATCCCATGTATTCAATCATGTTGTCATAGAAAAAATCCCTAAATATATACATACTAGTAATACTATTTGCTATAAAACTGTCGAAAATTCCACAATGATTAGACTTGTTTGTTTCCTGTCATTTGTGTCATGATTTAAAAGTAGAACTATGAGTAAACTGAATATAAGTTGGTATGGCAAGCAGTATTTTGTTTATTCCCTTGACAGCTATGATAGTGATCTAGAAGATGATGGAAAATATGCAAGGACTGATGGCAATGGCGACAGGAAACGCTTTAGGTAAATACAGTTATGTGGGGTATTATTGATTTCAGAAGTAGAACACAATTTAAAAACTTTTAAAGTGTCTTATTTATCATCTAAAATGTATGATTAGATAAGCTACTTGTTTCAATACTGATAGTTCAGTTTATATTAATTGAATTCCTATGAAGCTGTGTAAAATACGGTTTACTCGATATAAATATAGCAAATGAATTTTCAGCCGGTCATCATCCATTACTTCTCAAGGCACCTCCGTGCAGACGCAGTAAGTGCAAAATCAACTACTGAAATTGGGATTTTATATATGTGCATAAGAGGTTCAAGTGTGTGTGTGCATGTGTGTACTGTTTGAATAATTTTAAGAATGTGTTGGTTTTGCATCCTTTTTGTTTAAAATTATTTTCATTTTGTGTGTGTGTGTACCTATGTTTGTGTGTGAGAGAGTTTTTGTTTTATAAATGCTGTTTATATAATTCTGAAAATGTCATGTATCAGCTAGCTTTTGCATCCTTTTTCCATTCATCATGATTAATTTCAATTTTATGTGCATGGCTTAATTAGAGTATTATTTGCATATTTTTCCTAAATGCTTATAATTCTGTTCAGGAAAACANTGCTGTCTTCTGTGAAAGAGGTCATTAATTTAAGTAGAAAACCACTGGTTTAGTATGTGCATGCAAATTGTCCGCATTACATTTTCATAAATTAAAACTGTGTCGGATGCTAACATGTTTGTGTTCTTGGGCGAATAAAGCTTTTCATTCGTCCAAGATATGTTGCAGGCAAGATCTGAAGTGGCCCAGGCCGAGATTCTGATCTTGCTTGCGCCATATAGGCCTAAACAACGCTTAAAAGACACATGTCTTGATATTTGCATATTCATACTTTATTTCCTGTTTGTTTGATTTAAATAATAAATAATGTGTCATTTTGCTTTAAACTAATAGCAAATATTGTCTTTTGACCCGAATAATGTAGAATATGTTGGATGTAGTTATTAGCATTGTATGATTGTGTTATTGTTAAAACACCTGAAACACATGTTTTCCTTGGGCGGGTTTTTAACTATATGAATTTTAATTTGCCTGAATTTGAATAAGTATGGAATTTCGTACATGCCTGAATGCATGGAATCATGGAACGACACTTACACCCCATTTCCATAGATTTTTAGATCGATCTATCCCTGTGGGAAGTCTCACTAGATTACTGTCAGCTTGGCCGGCTTAAGCGTCTGTCCCGCCTACTAAAAGCTGTAAGGGGGTAATTAACTATGGTGCCCGCTCGGCTGACTGCAATTTAGCGTGAACCCCCAGGGAGTTAGGTCGATCTAAATCTTAATCTTTAGATCGACCTAAATCTCTGGGAAAGCAGCCTACAAGTGACAATGCGAACAACATTCACACAAATTACACACACACACACACACACACACACACACACAGAGAGAGAGAGAAAGAGAGAGAGAGAGAGAGCTTCACTGGTTTAAGATTTTACGCTGTTATTGTTATGGCCAGTATAGTTTGCGCTCAGTACATGCATAACTTCTTGATATAGTGTGGTTTAGTATAATTATCACAGATGTTATTTATTCTTATCCTTATCCTTATAAAGTCACACTTTTAGATGAACTTTGTTCGTAAATAATATGCACAACTTATAACCTAAAACAAGCACGAACATAATAGGATAATAGGAAGGTCTGTAATGTGTATTTCAATAGTTCAATATGATAGGAATGAAATATCTTTGAACAGCGGGGCATGACTAGTTGAATTCCTTGCATTATCTTCGGCTCTATTTATAAATGAATAACAGTCACGCTTTTCACATTGCGAGTTGGAACAAAAGTAAGTCTTTAGGTGCGTACTGTCAGTCATTTCTGTAGAAGTAGCATAGAACGAAATGCATCAGCTTGGCTTATTTATTGGCTAGTGTGCAACAAGTAGACATATTATACATCAAGAACACTCTTGTATACATGTATAAACAGACAATCTATTTATGCATATGTTTTAGACACTATATGGAAGGAAAATAAGCCAACAAAATATTAAGTTTTCTTTACTGAATAAATACAAATTGCTCATTCATTTATTCCAGGAATAACACACGTACTAAACAATGGGATCATAAGTATAGGGCCTACACTAAATATTACTGTATTTTCTAATAATGATGATAATAAACTGAGATGTATTTTCATCAGAAATAGGAGAGGGGGGTGTATTTTCATCAGAAATAGGAGAGGGGGGTGCAAATGTTTGAAGTAAGCAACTTTCACATATACAAATAAAAGATGTTTAGTCTAATGCCTTTGTTATTTTTTCTTCAATATTTTCGTGTGTAATATGCTCATAGATATTATATTCAACTAGAAATAAGAATAAAAACAGGTCGAGCAGCAAGAAAGGAATTCTGCCACCCCTAATTTATGAAACTATTCGGAATAAATATTTACAAAATCAACAGCAACAAAAACAAAAACGCAACGCTTTGTACATAACGACCTTACTAGTCTTCGAAATCGCCAGCGGCGGGACACGACAAAGGTCAAACTCTTATTGGAAAAATAAAATCATTCGCACTTTTAAGGTGCAGTATAACATCCCTCCTTTTTTCTTAAAAATTACTACGTTTGAAGGGCATTTACCATATCCAAAAGATTAGGCATGATTGAAAACTAACCGCCACATACCAAAGGTAAGATTCAGAACACCTTCGTGTAGTTTCTTCCATCCATTTCACAACACTTTTGATTCCTATGATAGATTAGGCAATCAGTTGCCCGCAAGAACTGCCCTAATCTTCAAAAACAATAGCAATATAGCATTAAGAATTACTGTTCTTTCTAGCAAGTGGCAAACAGAGAGTGTAACATTTTTTACTTTTTCATTCTTAATATCTGTTACTGCCTTCCCCTCACCCCCTCCCTCCCACAGCAATGTACAGTCTTGAAAAGTTACTTTTTAAAGGCACTAGTGGTTCATTCCGACAGCAAGACGGTTCGCGTACCGTATTTTCTGAAACATTTTCGCTGCATTCTCTGTATTGCAGTAGATGTGTCAGACGCATTTCTCATCCATGTCACGTGACCTCCGTTAATTTACATTGTAAACATGGAGCCCAGTCAGTTGTCGTCGGAAATGGTGATTATGTGGAAAATATTCATGACAACATAAGAGGTTCATTGGATTCTCTGCAGATAGTATTAAAAGATTGGCCCAGGAAAGGTAAAACCGATATTGGGGTTGAACATATTTCCGAATTTGTTATAAACGGACTATGTACTATTGGACACTTGTTGCGGCTTTCTCTTAATGGCAGCCTGGAGCTTGGAGTGGACGGTAGTGGACATCAAGATAAACGTTATAAAGCCTATAAAGCCAGTGTTGCTTCTTTTTTAAAAAACAAAAACACGGTATTCAATAGCTTCGTAGCGGACACTGAGTTCAGTTGTGTGTCCTCTGCTCCTTCTTACATGTATGTCTTAGAAATTACGTGGTAAATGAGCCCATTTTTAGACCAGTTATAGGCAGTTAAGATATTAAGTATCAGACTAAATAACATGCCTCTTGTACTCCTATTTATGTTTGGGGTGCTGCAGGTAGATTTTAGAGTCGATAGAAGCACCAGCAAAAATTATTGATCTCCGAATATGCAAGCATATCCATGAAATCGCATGACGTGATAGGGATACAGGGAGGTGGCACTCTGCATGTCATTTAAAAAAAGCTTGTTGCCTCATGCCCTGTCAGATCTGCGTTATTGTATCCTAGTACTCTGCTTGTGTTTGGTAGGCTTTTACTTAAACTGGATAGAAATGTGAAAATTTTGATTTGTCTTGTGCATAATGTAGCTGTTTTTCTCACAGCCTGATAAACTGTTTTGCCTCAGTTCTAGGTGTAGATTGCAAACGAGCAAAAATGGCAAATTGGAGCTAAAATGTATCCTGTATCTTTGACATATATTATATAATTTCATATATATTTTTCTCACATCTGGAGAGGTTCTAGCACAAAAATTAATGCGTTAGCACTCTTATATGGTTTCTTAACAGCAGTACATATCAGAACCCATATAAAAGAGTGCTAACGCGTGACTTTTCATGCAAGAGAGATGCCTACAGGGCACTGAATTTCCACCTGCAGCTTGGTTTTATCATTCAATTAGGTTCTCTTAGCAACTTGGTGAACCAATAGGTAAACCAAAAGTTGCACAGCTGAACGTTTATTAATAACCCTTATCACATAGTGCACTGTAAGAAAAAGCTTAATTATACTACTGGAAAAAATAAGAAGATGTGTAGAACTAGCAAAGAACTGTACTCAGAATAATGGCCATACATTAAAACCTTATTGTGGAAACATTGTGGCTGTTTTCATTCAGGATAATTGGCAACAATTTATTTAGACACATTCTTTTTGAACTTGTGCTCATTAACCATGTAAAGATATCTTCCCCCACAGTGGATTGAAATATCCACACATTCCCCTACCCTAGCTCTAGATACAGATCCTGTACTTTGTGGTTTTACCTATAGATCGAGGTAAGTGATGGAAAAAAATCCATCCATCATCACCATATTGCATCCACAAATCCTGGCATCAAACCTACCAATGATAGCTTTATTTGTGAACTTGTTAAGTTTTAACATTATCCCAACAGGCTCCAACTTTGGCTGCAACAAAGTCGGTGAAAATTAACATCCATATAGGCCAGGGACAGAGAACTTCTCCCAGATGATCTTCTCTTTCTCCTGAAGAGAAACAAATGTATTAAGTTCTGGTCACTGTTTAAGATTCTGTAGCTTTGAGATGCATCAATGCAATCTTATATGTTCATAATGAACCTGCCAATGTTTCAGATCATGGAGAGAAAAGACTCCCCAGGAGAGACATTTTCAGGAAAGCGTAAGGTGTCTTCAGTTATAAGGTAACATTACATGTGATGTACAAAATATAATTCTGTGTGTATTAGTTTGCTAGTAGGTACCTAATTTATTAATATTCCTTTGGTTTGTAGTTGAAAACTAATGATATGCATAACATACATGTACTAGTACATTAATCCCATGTATTCAATCATGTTGTCATAGAAAAAATCCCTAAATATATACATACTAGTAATACTATTTGCTATAAAACTGTCGATAATTCCACAATGATTAGACTTGTTTGTTTCCTGTCATTTGTGTCATGATTTAAAAGTAGAACTATGAGTAAACTGAATATAAGTTGGTATGGCAAGCAGTATTTTGTTTATTCCCTTGACAGCTATGATAGTGATCTAGAAGATGATGGAAAATATGCAAGGACTGATGGCAATGGCGACAGGAAACGCTTTAGGTAAATACAGTTATGTGGGGTATTATTGATTTCAGAAGTAGAACACAATTTAAAAACTTTTAAAGTGTCTTATTTATCATCTAAAATGTATGATTAGATAAGCTACTTGTTTCAATACTGATAGTTCAGTTTATTTTAATTGAATTCCTATGAAGCTGTGTAAAATACGGTTTACTCGATATAAATATAGCAAATGAATTTTCAGCCGGTCATCATCCATTACTTCTCAAGGCACCTCCGTGCAGACGCAGTAAGTGCAAAATCAACTACTGAAATTGGGATTTTATATATGTGCATAAGAGGTGCAAGTGTGTGTGTGCATGTGTGTACTGTTTGAATAATTTTAAGAATGTGTTGGTTTTGCATCCTTTTTGTTTAAAATTATTTTCATTTTGTGTGTGTGTGTGTACCTATGTTTGTGTGTGAGAGAGTTTTTGTTTTATAAATGCTGTTTATATAATTCTGAAAATGTCATGTATCAGCTAGCTTTTGCATCCTTTTTCCATTCATCATGATTAATTTCAATTTTATGTGCATGGCTTAATTAGAGTATTATTTGCATATTTTTCCTAAATGCTTATAATTCTGTTCAGGAAAACATGTGCACATGGTTGTTTTGCTTTCAGCATTGGCATATGCTTGTCAAGTAGTGAAACTGAAAATATTAATAGTAAATAAACATTCAGTTTGGTAATTGCAGACAGAACCACAGTGAGATTGAAAAAAGGCGCCGTGACAAGATGAATGCATACATCTGGGAATTGTCCTCCATGATACCCATGTGCAGTGCAATGAACAGAAAGCTCGACAAGTTGACTGTACTGCGGATGGCTGTACAACATATAAAATCCCTGAAAGGTATGCTCAGTACAGCATTTATGACAAAGACCAATCAGTAAACATGTTAATCAGCAAATATATTGATCAGTATAATTAAAATCATCCCACCATAATCAGTGCAATTGGTATTTCTTGGCAATAACATATTATTAGTGCTGTTGAATATATATGGATATAATCTGGTTGTATTTTAGGTGCTGACACGTCACAGTGTGAAACAAGTCAAAGGCCAGCCTTCCTGTCAGATGAAGAGCTTAAACATCTTATTTTGAAGGCAAGTTTTTCGTACAATCAAAGTTCAGAGAAATACCAAAGCTGCATTAAATAATCCATGATTATTGTGACAAAACTTGGACTATGAAATATCTCTTGTCATACCTGTTAACAACCCAATAAGTTTCATTTACATTAAATGCCTATAACTGTTAATGTTATGTTTATATATATTTTTGTAGTCCGCTGGTGGATTCCTGTTTGTTGTTGCTTGTGACAGGGGCAAGTTGTTGTACGTCTCTGAATCTGTCAAAGATTATCTCAACTTCACAAGGGTAAGTTTTATAAACACATACCATGAAAAACTGAAACATGGACCAAGATGGTCTGCGCACAAACATGTAGTCACGCACATTTGCTAATGTACACACATGCGCATGCACGCGCACACACACACACAAACAGTCCACGAATGTACTAGTAACTCTTATGACTTGATGCAGCATTCAGTTGCTTTGTGGTTGGGGTAAAGGTAGAGGGGATGAAGGTATTCTAAAATGGAGGACATATCTAAAAGTGGGTGTGACATATTCAGTTTGGAGTTTGAAGTGATATTGTTAGTCAGGAAAACCACATGGTTCCTGACCCAATCAATTTTTGTTTTGCTTCTCACTGTTTTTTTTTTCTTCAAATTTCAGAGTGAGCTGACCAATCAAAGCCTCTTTGACATTCTTCACCCAAAAGACATCACAAAGGTCAAGGAGCAGCTGACATCATCTGATCTCACCCCCAGAGAAAGGCTCATTGATGCTAAAAGTGAGTTATATTTGTTATATACTACATGTAGTTTGGAAGGATGAAAAAATGTTATTCTGTCAGAATAATTTTGTCCCTACTAAAAATAACAGGTGAGTAATGATGTAACCTGCCACATGATTTATGTTACCATGCAGGAAAGGGAACTTTTAAAACTATTTTATCCTTGTTAGTGGTTTAAGCGAGATTCCATGTTTTTTGAAAGTATGGCTCATTGATGTATTAAGTGTAGCATATTGAGGTGTTCTTTATATATCTTGTGTCTTTTGAACTCATTCTAGCAATGATGCCTGTGAAGACAGAGATGCCCCAGATCCAGTCTCAGTTCAGCTCAGGTGCTCGAAGGTGCTTTTTCTGCCGCATGAAATGTGGAGTGAGAAACAGTGGAGATGGCAACGCTAGTCTCTTGATAAAAGAGGAAAAAGAACAGGACATTGAAACGGTTTTAAGAAGGAAGAAGTCAGGTGAGCTTTAATTGATGAAAGTTTTTAAGCCCACCACCATTGAGTACAGATGTATGTGATGTTTGTCTCTCCAGTTTTCTGCAACTGTTGTGGTCTAGCCCACTTCTGTATCTACTCGTCTCTTACCTATTCAAATGAACTATTCCAACTGTTTTCAAACTTTCCAGATTGTTGCTATGATTATATATATATATATATATATATATATATATATATATATTATGCACATGATCATTGTGACACTCTAATTCACTTAACACAGGTTATGTCAAGTCTTAAATGTTCTTTTTAATTTTTTTTTCCAGACCGCTGCTATGCCCTGATTCACTGTACGGGTTACCTCAAGTCATGGCCACCAGCTAAACTGGGTCTGGAAGAGGACACAGACAGTGACTCTGATGGTGGTAACACTACCTGCTTGGTTGCAGTGGGCAAGGTCCAGCCTGTACTGGACCTCAGCGATCTTGGACCTACTCAGACACACCCTACAGAGTTTGTATCCAGACATGCCATTGACGGGAAATTTACTTACGTTGATCAAAGGTTAGGGCTGATGTTTGGTCTGATGTTGTGTGGAATTATAAAACAAGTAATGAATGTAGTAAAAGAAAATGCACCAACTACAGTAAAGTCTGCCCCATCAATCATAACCGTATAATGATTATTGATATGTAGTGTGAAAAAGGGGTACTAAAAAATTTTATCTTCATTTCAGTTATTGCGATTTGAAAATTTGCTAGGATCACTGTTTATAGAGAAGAAAGGTTTTAAGATGCATAGTGATATGATATGATATGATATGATATGATATTACAATTTGTATTCAGAATATTGAATTCACATGCAATCCTGTGTAGTACACTGTTGTTCTTGTTCTCATCAGAGCCACTGCTGTCTTGGGTTATCTACCTCAAGAACTTCTTGGAACGTCTGTGTACGAGTATTATCACCAAGATGACTTGGCACATATGGCTGAAATACATAAAAAAGGTAATATTTCTTGGGATCCATCTAGAGAAGATAAGTAATAGTAAAGATTTTAAGAAACCATCATATTAAATTTGACGGTTTTAAGAAAGTAAAGGTTTTACAAAAAGGAGTTGTTAAATTGATGGTTTTAAAAAGATCAATCTAAGAATGAAACTTGAGTCTTATGAGAATCAGAATTTCTTGGGTGATGCTAACAGCTAACATGAATTCCAGTTGCTAAGGTTCATTTAATTTAAGAATAATTAAATGAGTAATATTTTCAACCAGCAAGTGAATATATTTTTGATAGAATTTAATGATACTTTATATAATGACATAATTTAGTATTTATCGTCAACTTTTTATTTTGAAGTTCTCGCAAAAAAAGAGAAAGTGGAATCGGGAATTTACCACTTTCGTCTAAAGGATGGCTCCTTTATCAGTCTGAGGACAACAAGTTTTGCATTTATTAGTCCATGGACCAAAGATATTGAATACATTGTAGCAACGCACACTGTAGAGCAGTGAGTACATTGTCATTGTGCTAATTTAGTTGCTTGTTTAAGTTTTTTTCAAATTTTATCACATTTTAAATATCTTTCTTTAAAGGTTTTTAATTTTATCACATTTTAAATGTCTTTCTTTAAAGGTTTTTGTTCAAATTTTATCACACATTTCAAATTTCTTTCTTTATTAGGACAAGACACAAAATGTCTTGGGTTATCTACTTTCAGCTAATGTTAAAGAAGTATGCCCTGGTTATTCAATGAAAATGAACTTTTTAGTAAAATTTGAAGTTGGTCGTGTAGAATTTGCAAACAATACAATATCAGGTTTAACAGAAAGATTCAGCCAGCACATCATATCTGTTTCCAGTGAAGCAGACAGTCCCATGGGTGCAGTCTCTGCAGAAGCTACTTGTTCTTCAACAATTGGACAAGATGACAGCAACAGTGGGTCAAATGGTGGCTCCAGTATCAGTTTCTTTAAAAGACCTGAAGGTAGTTGGATGTCATAGATTTAACAAGTTTATGCATTTGCTGCATGTGCTGTACCAGTATGAGCAAGGATAAATGCAGGAAATAATGTAAAATCTTTTATGTTGCTGTGACATATTTTTAGGATGCCATGTTTATTCTTTAAGTTTTGGTGAATTTATAGGTCGTAGTCCCTCCACAGCTGCTGGCATTCCATTGTCTACAAAGACAGGTGCAGGGAGGATAGGAAGGCTTATTGCAGATGAAGTATTAGAACAAAGGTGAGCCATTGTGATTTAATGGTGAATACATATGAAGTGTTGGAACAAAGGTGAGCCACTGTGATTTAATGGTAAATACATATGAAGCATTGGAACAAAGGTGAGCCATTGTGATGGAAAGTTTAATACATATGAAGTATTGGAGCAAGGGTGAGCCAGTGTAGTGGAGAGTTAAATTCATATGAATCGCAGTGTACTAGAGCAATAGAAATCTTGACTCATGAAATATTTGAACAAATTGGAGTTAATCTGCAAAAAAGCGGGAAAATTACTGCTATAATTTTTTCTGACAGTCAGGTTTCTTTTTTTTTCCTTCGAACCATCTCCCCACACAACATCATCAGTATCACTACTGACCAAACTTAATGTTATTGTTGTATACAATTCCATTTTTTCAGTAGGAAAGAAGAGCCCATTTCCTTACATGATAGTCTGCGCAACGAGCTGCATTCAGGCCTTGCCTCGTTACGTTTGGCATTTGAAAGGGCCTTTAGGTAAGTCATTCATAATAAACTGGTGGCATTTGTAATGTACAATTGTATACATGTCAAGAAAAAACATTAGGGCTATTTCCTGCCTATTACTACCAGTTATCACAAATGTAACAATTAAAGCATAATTGAAATTTATGTGAAAGAAAATAATACACATCAAAAAGAATGAAAAGATACAGATTTGTAAAATTCATTTCAAACCTTGTTCCAATAATTCCATGCTTTGATGAAAAATAAAATGATGGTTAAAAAATGAAATAAATTATTAATTTTATCCAATTTAAAATTTACTAATCTGAGCTTTAGATTCAACATATTCCATTCCCTTAATTTCAAAAACTACCACCAGTCATATTCCCAAATGGCCAGACATGTGTAGACTGTTAGAATGATACATGGGTTCACTTTCTTTGCAGCACAACATGTGCCACTCCAGTTACCAGCACTGTGGTGACATCTCTTGATGGACAGGTAGCGTATTGCAGGGGCGGATCCAGAGATATTTTCTGACAGTCTATCAAATTATCTTTGTTGATCCATTCTCTATTTTTGACCTTCTTTTTACAGAAAAAAATTAGATACCTTTAAATGTAAACTTGAATATCTGTCTTCTGGAAGACCCAGAAGACGACCTCAATCTGCCCGTCTTTGGCCTTTATTTTAACCCTTTGACTGTCCCATGTCATCAAGACACATTATAAGCATGCCACGGTGGCCATCACTTGGACAGTGCGCAATAAAGTGGTTTATAACTGTGGTTTTTAAAAGTTTTTTCTTTAGTCCTGATTTACTTGATGGTGAGAAAAAAGTTTCAGTACAAGTAAACAAGTCACAATACCTGACAGAAGAGCTGCAGTGTATTTTGTGTACAATGTGTGTGTTTTTTTTTTCAGAATTTACCGTCCAACAACATGGCATACAGACAGGCTGCTGCAGGTAAGACCCCTGGTCTAAAATAGGGGCCATTGGTTATATTGCTTCATGATAATCAATATTTACATCCGTTATTAAATGATCTATCAACTTTACAGTTGTTAACTTAAAGGTGGGTATACCAACAGTGAGACAAATAAAAAGATATAAAATACTGTAAGGATGATAAGATCTTCATGCACATAATAAGATAATCGTGTAAAATTCTGAAAATATTTTTAATTATTTTTAGTTCATTCTTAAAATTGTTAGGGGAGACGATTCATCTGAATATGGCAATAATGTATTCTTTTAGTCATTTTGTGACCGTCCATGATTACAGTTGAATCATCTGTAGAATCATTTTATTTAAAAGTAGATCGAGGGATTTGCCATTATGCGACAATTGTGGATGATCACCATATTACTGTAACATGAAATGCAGTTAGTTTATGTTTGGATACATTTTAGTTTCTTCAGATACAGACAACACCAGTGTAGTTAGCAGTGTAGATGAGAGACACAGTAACTCCAGCAGTGCCTCAACAGGGAGGGTGCCACAGAATGGAATGTCCAGTTTGGCTGTTAGATCCAGTGCAACAGGTGAGTGGTAGTTGATGTCATACCTAACACAGTAATATTTTCAATCTTGACAGGACAGAACAGGAAATGGGACCGTCAAAATATGATTTAACATATTAAATTAAGTGACCAGGAAACATGGATTATTTCATACCAACTAAAACTTTCTACGTTTTGTTATTCAATTTAGCAAACAGTTTCAGAGTATTCATTAAATATTGTCAGACTGTATTGTTACTGAACTGGTAGAGTGCTTGCCTCTGGTGCACGATGAGGTGGGTTCATTTCCTACGGCCTGGTCATACCAGAGAGTGGACCATTATAAAAATGGTACCTGCTGTCTTTTCACTAAACAATCAGCATACTAGTATAGAGGCTGAAGCAGGGAGTAAAGACCTGGTTATGGTAATACTGGCAATTTTTGAGGAAAATTCTAGTATACTGCAGCTAGTTGGTTTAATTTATTTAGGATATCAGGCTATAAACCAACCTTTGACTCTAACTGCAACCCCTATTTTTAAAATGGTAAATAATTTTTGTAATGATGCACATCTTTGATAAATGAAATCTTGTATTATTTCAGAGTCCCCTACCCCTGGTGACAATCTAGTGACATCTTTAATGGACCCTAACAATTTCTCGGAACTGTCCAGCCCAGGAGACACAGGCAATGATGAAGCTGCAATGGCAGTCATCATGAGTTTATTGGAGGCAGATGCAGGCCTTGGTGGCCCTGTGGACTTCAGTGATTTACCATGGCCTCTCTAAGCACAGACATGTTTTGGTGGCCCTGTAGGCCTCGGTTATTTACCATTCCCTAAACGAGTTGCCATAGTCACACCAGTTAGCACAACTCGAAGTCATGGAGACCTTGTCCCCTTTATTTAGTAACCATGGCAACTGACCTTAGAAAATGTGAGATACCTCTGCATAATCACAAGTCCCTGTGAGTGTCAGTGCCTTACCATGACCACTCCAAATGGAGTACAGCATTACTTTTGCTGGAAAGTCTTCTATGGTGAACCGTTTCTTTGTTTTCCTTTCGTTATAAAAGAGGTGCTGACAGTTTATGAGACTGTCTGTATATCAGCAAGTACTAATGTTTGCATACAACTTTTGTAGATTCTTCAGCTGCAGAATACTTTTCTAAAAATTATGTGCAATGTGATGCTGAAGTTTTAACTTTATATTTTTACGAAAGAGGCATGCAACGTGTAGTTTTTAGACAGCTAAATTGTTGTCTTTGTAACAACGCTTTGTAACAGCTCATTTACTGATTCTGCAAATGTTGTGAATGTAATGTTAAATTTGGTTTCAGTTAATTTGTTTAAAGTTGCCAAGTATGATGTATGATATAACTTTCTACATTTTGACTGATGTTGCATTGTTAGACGTCATATATCCACATTTCAGGAAGAATAGGGTAGTTATAAATCCATGTTTTAGAATGATACAGCTCTAGTCAGTGGCTATCAATGATCATCATGTATGGTAATCGACTCATTCTTTTCAATGAGGAAAATTGTGATTTTTACAGATGCTGTATTTTTTCAGGTCATAAATTCTTAAAATTGAAACCTAGTGATAGGAACAAAACTGATAATCTGGCTACTATATAAGGAAAAAGTGCTGTAAATGCTAAAGATCAAAATTATTTGTAGTGATTCAAGAACTAAATATCTGAAAGATTGATAATTTTTCCTTATTGAAAAGATCAAGTCAGTACCGTAAATTTGTCTTGTATTTCACCTGCCTGCTCATTGAACTTTGGTAATAGCGGTTTACCCAAGTACTTGGTGTTACTACCCGCTGATCTTTACTGTTTATTTGTCTTTTTAGCTGTGNACATGTTTTGGTGGCCCTGTAGGCCTCGGTTATTTACCATTCCCTAAACGAGTTGCCATAGTCACACCAGTTAGCACAACTCGAAGTCATGGAGACCTTGTCCCCTTTATTTAGTAACCATGGCAACTGACCTTAGAAAATGTGAGATACCTCTGCATAATCACAAGTCCCTGTGAGTGTCAGTGCCTTACCATGACCACTCCAAATGGAGTACAGCATTACTTTTGCTGGAAAGTCTTCTATGGTGAACCGTTTCTTTGTTTTCCTTTCGTTATAAAAGAGGTGCTGACAGTTTATGAGACTGTCTGTATATCAGCAAGTACTAATGTTTGCATACAACTTTTGTAGATTCTTCAGCTGCAGAATACTTTTCTAAAAATTATGTGCAATGTGATGCTGAAGTTTTAACTTTATATTTTTACGAAAGAGGCATGCAACGTGTAGTTTTTAGACAGCTAAATTGTTGTCTTTGTAACAACGCTTTGTAACAGCTCATTTACTGATTCTGCAAATGTTGTGAATGTAATGTTAAATTTGGTTTCAGTTAATTTGTTTAAAGTTGCCAAGTATGATGTATGATATAACTTTCTACATTTTGACTGATGTTGCATTGTTAGACGTCATATATCCACATTTCAGGAAGAATAGGGTAGTTATAAATCCATGTTTTAGAATGATACAGCTCTAGTCAGTGGCTATCAATGATCATCATGTATGGTAATCGACTCATTCTTTTCAATGAGGAAAATTGTGATTTTTACAGATGCTGTATTTTTTCAGGTCATAAATTCTTAAAATTGAAACCTAGTGATAGGAACAAAACTGATAATCTGGCTACTATATAAGGAAAAAGTGCTGTAAATGCTAAAGATCAAAATTATTTGTAGTGATTCAAGAACTAAATATCTGAAAGATTGATAATTTTTCCTTATTGAAAAGATCAAGTCAGTACCGTAAATTTGTCTTGTATTTCACCTGCCTGCTCATTGAACTTTGGTAATAGCGGTTTACCCAAGTACTTGGTGTTACTACCCGCTGATCTTTACTGTTTATTTGTCTTTTTAGCTGTGGATCATTTTTAATGTATTATCTTTAATTTCTGAACATGTGTAGACATTAAAAGGGTATATGTAACTTAATAGACAGTGCACTTGTACCGTATACTGGTAGGTATGTATTGTGACCAAATGACTTTCACCCATCTGCTCAGCATTTAAATGATAAATAAGTGTTAGAACATTCCAGTTCTGGCAGAATTCTTTATTTACATGTTAGTGATAGTTGATGTATATACTCTGAAGTGAATTGCAATGTGTCTATATCTGCCAATTGGGGAAGTCCCGTAAGTGTGATCACAGCTGGGGACACATTTATCAAGGCTAAAGTTATAGCACAAAGATGTTGTTTTAATTTATTCTGTGATTGTAAATACAATGTAACTTTTTATGCTGCATTTATAGTGAACTGTGTTGTGAAAGTAAAATTGTAATTTTTACCATTTATGTCCTGGGGGGAGGGGGTTTGTTATAACCATTAGATAATTAGAAAGTACAAGTGATTATGACAAAATAAGTAAACTGTGTTATGTCCTTTTTAACACAAAAAGGTTCAGTGACAGGCCTACCCAACTACCAGACTTGGCACTGAATGATCCAGAATTCACCGGTAGATTGGATCACACTACCCGTTTTCAAGGTGTGCGTCAGAACGCATTTCACAGTATCATACCCTGAACAAATTTTGAGTGGTGATGCAACACTTTCCAACCCCACTGAGAATCATCACTATCACATCGCGTACTAGGCAAGAGCAGTGTCGCATCTGATATTTCGAAGTGCATACTAACGCACACCTTGAAAATGGTTAATGCGGTCCGATCTACCAGTGAGTTCAGGATCATTCGGTGCCGAGTCTGGTAGTTGGGTAGGCCTGAGTCACATATACATGTAAATGGGCTTTCAAAGCCCTGAAGGGAATTTGCAGTGGTTTAATAAGCCATTGTACCAGAGTGTTATGGCAGTTTGCAAATGGCCTAGCATATCATCTCATGCCATATAAAAATGCCAATAGTTTGATTTATCAGTTGATCATACTGAAAATTTTGACAATATTGTACATCTCTTGCAATAAAGCAAAGTGACGAATTTGTTGATCAAAACCATCGAAATAAATTATTTTGTCTGAGATTTTCAAATGTGGAAGGATACCTGGACCTTTTGCTTTAAGCACATTGTGTAAAACATACATTGCATGCGGTTAGAAACAATACATACTGTTTTCATGTACCACTAAGTGCCACCAGGATTTAAAAATTTTAGCTTACTGTAATTGTCGATTAATTTTAATATATTAATTTAATATTTATACTGATATAAATCCACATTGCATGAATCTCTGTTTATCTGTTAAATAATAATTGTTTGCAAATATCCATATATGAAGGACAAATAAATATAAAGATTTGATGTAACACTGCTTTAATTTGGCTTTTGGAATGTGGTGACTAAATATTGCACATAATTCGGAGAAAGCAAAAAATCACAAAAACTACAAACAAATTGGAATCACTGCCTTAAAGTTCCTCTTAAAAATTTCCTGATACAATATTAAGACGCACATTGGCTGCATTTATTTAAAAGTTGTTACTGTATAAAACTTAAAAGGGATTCTTTGGTCATAATGGACAATTATAAATACTTCCTTAGCATCATACATAAAGTAAAAACAAAACAGAAATACAAAACCAAAAATTCTTGGTTCAACTTGTTACAAACATGGCTGCTGACAAGGAAGTAAGGTCCACCGCTACCAGCTTAAATTCTTGTTTCACAGTAAGTGGTGATAAAAGGGATTCACATCCAGAGAACACTCTGCGCAAGGAAACTCTTTGGTAAAAAATGGTTCATACCTATAATAAAGAAATATAAATGGATGTACATGTGATTAGCTATGATAAAAGGTTAATTAAAACATATATTTTAATGCCACCCAACCTCAGGTAAACTAAAAGATTACAACATGTAACTGTCTGAAGCACATTACCCTGAGCTTCAGATACCCAAGGCCTGACAGCTTCATTTTCAAACCATTTTATCACAAGCACATTAGCCGTGATCTTCACTATTCACAAATGCTTGCTTTTAGAAACATCCATTCTATCATATGGATGTCAGGCTCCCATTATATTAGGTGTGATGTATACTGGGCAATTAAAAAGTATGTAAATGATCCCAGCCCCCATTTTCACTCACATCTTGACAAACATTTGAATAAATATCTGGAAATGAGGCCTCTGACAGCTTGTTTATGGGAGCATAAATGTTGCCCAAGAAACCAAAGTGAACAAAGAGGCAGTCTGGTTGATTTGACTGATGAATTTATTGGATGATTGATGAACTGGGAAGACTATTTCACAGTGTGCCATCGAGATCTGCAAGAACCTGAAGCTCAGGGTGGTACTGACTGAGATATAAAAATAAGTCGTTATTGGTTGCCATATAAGAATGCAAAATTAAGTATCAGATCTTATTCACTGTCTTACATAATCCGCAATAGCACACATGAGACATCTGCCAATATCTCACACAACCACATAACACGTATCCAACACCTACCAGAAATTAACTGCCAAATTCCTGTGATCCTGTTGTCCAGGAGAAGACATGACTTCATGCCACCAGTATGCAGGCATGAACAGGACTTCCCCTTCATTTATAGTGCAGTTCATAGGGTAAGCACCTTAAAATGAGAAAGATTTTCTTTATTTTGATGTTCAAAGTTAAAATACCAATGTTGATATTAACATCACACTATCACATCGCAAGCACAAATACTGGTAGCACACAAGCATATCTCAGTCACACAGCAAACTAACATGCCACAGTTACCATACCATATTTGTCCCACCAAGCACATTATCACATCCTTAACACAACTAGCACGCTCATGCACCTTTGTCACACTTAACACACTATATATCAAATCTCTACCATGCTCATGTCATTTTCACAATTATGAAATATGCATACCTATCATGACATCAAATATTTGCCATACATAGCACATCACAACATCTCTGACATTGCCCAGGAAACCAACACAACCCTGCCAAACTTGGCTCACACATCAGTATCACACTTTGTGCACATCTTATTTGTGTTACATTTAAAATATTCACACTGTTCTTTCACATCTAGAACACTACTAGTACCACATTTGCACTGCACCTAAATCACGCTCCAATATCTGTCAAAAGATGCAGGTATATGCAAATACTGTCCAGGAGCAATATATGTGATATAATAGTCTAATTTCTGATAAAGAAAACAAGGCAAGAAAATTCACAAATATTAGTACCCCTGTCCCTGAATGTGATATCTATTATAAGTGAAAGAAAAAAGACAATAAAACTGAAAAAATCAGGCAGTTTTTCTCTTTGACATCACTGGCTGTGAATCAAAATGCAAACATTGTATAGTCACCTGCAAACTTGGGAAACCTCTGAAAGTCTGGATTACGGATGTCTACTGGTGACATAACCATTGAGGTGCTGTCCAAAAGGCCCTTTCTCTTAAATTGCTTTGTGGTTTTATTAAACTTCAGCAAAGCTTCTGAAATGTGGGCCTCGTAGAGGTTTGTGTTGTCATGGGGATCAAACAAGGTCACTTCCTTCTGGCCACTTAACTACAAATGGAAAATCAAAATCACTGTTTTACACAATCCACAAAATACCCTACTTCTGATGCCATATCACTGTCAAATACAACAATGTTACCATTACAGTAAAGAAATGTATTGCAATACAGTGATAAATAATCAAGTTTCTACATTTACCTGGAACAGTAAGTTGTCAAATGGATCAAAATGCAACCGTCCCAGAGTATAACCATCACTTAGCCAGATATTTAGGTGTCTTCTTTTCAGTAAGCCTTTGACAAACCCTGGTTCTTTTATATCCTGCTCAAGGCTAGGGAAATACTGGGGAATAGAAGTGTATTCAAGATAGGCAGAATAGTTACGGTGCTTCCCATGATTTTTGTCATTGGATAGCATCTCTAAAAAGTTTGAAAAATTTACATTCAGTGTGGCAGGTCTTACAACCACCAAATCTGGAAAGTGTAATTGCTTTTTAACATCTGTTGGTATAGTGAATGTTTTGTGATCTTCCCACAATTCTGCCTTTTCCACACCTTCAAAGTCACCATTTGGAGTCAGTTTGACATGCACTTCTTCATGCAAATACCTTTCCTTAAAATAATCAGTCGTCCACTTCGAGAGCGCAGCCCAATCCTTCATAGTACCCCTAATTATAACAGGTTTGGAACGCTTGACATACTCATGAAAGAATTCCTCTTTAGTAGGCATGTGGATTCTATCACATACTGCTAAATGTTTATGTCTGGCTGCTGTCCAACTGGAAGATGCACATGTGTCCCTCTGGCTAGCAACACAGTCATACTAGTAATTCTCATCATCACCACGCCGTGTGTCATGCTGATCACTACCCTGGACCTTGGCCAGCCAGCTCTGATATTTCAACAGTAATGGGTTTGGCTGACTGTTGAACAAAGAGGACACACTGGCAATATTTTCTGAGGAATGCACCACGTGAAAGAGATTTTGAAGAATGTCTAACCTGTGTAATCCCTCCACTGACACATGTCCCGATTCAGTTCTGAAAAAATCGCAGACATTATTGACAAATTGCACCAGGGATGACAGTGTCACAGGCCCGCTGTAAACTTCTGCCTCTGGTGTCCAGATATTCGCAGGAGCGGGCAGTAGACATGTGCGATCAATTTTTCTCTTCCGAAATGCAATAAAATGCGTGTTGTTGTTAGGGCTTTTATTCGCCCACTTAATTTTCCTATTAAAAGGCCACGCGAATCCTTGAATATCCAATGATCCAAATGTCACGTTTTCCTCTTTAAAAATGCCCTGTAATTCTTCCAAGATTTTAGATGTTGAGGGGACTTTGGTCACAGCGGCGACGACACAGGATGTTTCCACTGCATGCAAAATATCATCGGATTTTAAATTATGTACACATTGAGAGAATTTTACCAGTAAAATGCACATTGTGATGTATAGAGTCCATATTCCCATCCTCGGCAGTCATTTAGTATAAGACTTACATAGAGGGATTACGTGTCCAAATGCTAGAGGATTTTCATTCTGTTGTTGATGCCCTGGTTGATTATAGGTGTCAGGACGACCAGACAAGCTAATCACTTTCCTTTTCTTATTAAAATTTTTGACTGGTTATAAGTCAAATTTTCCAGCAATGGACGTTATTTATATACACAAACAATTTGAAAATCTTTAAGATAGTACTGAAAGTTCAGGTAGAATTGACATTCCACGAGACTTAAAATTATTAGATTCATTGTATTGAAGATAAGCCCCACCTATAGTTCTTAATCCTACCAAAACAGAGAGAGATGACAGCAAACCTAGAAATTATATTTTGAAACGGAGTTTATCAGCCATGTCCAGCAGGGGAGTGAATAACCTGCGATTTAATCAAGATCATGGTATTTAATATTTAATGTTTCATAATGTGATGTAATAATCTTCTTGAAAACAATGTTTATGTACTACATGCAGTTCCTACATTTTACCTGTAGTTTTTATTTCCTGAATATACACTGTAATTATTAATAATTTTCGTATGTTGTGCAAGAAAACAAACGAAATACTTGCCCAAATAATGGTAATAATTGTCAATTGAAATAGTCCAATGTGATATGTTTTATTTATTTATCATTTATTTATTTATTTATTTATTTATTTATTTATTTTATTTAGCAGTATTTATTTTATATACTCACCTGGCAGCCAGAAAATATTCAGTCCCATTTAACATTTTTAAAGCCTAAGGCCTGTTTGTGATCTTTTTGGTATGATATTGTTCCTTTATTAATTTATCCAGATATTAATATGTGGTTTTTCCCACTTAACCATGGAAATGACCCTTTGATTACATTTAATTATAGGTAAATGAAAAAAGGAAATGTGTTTGAAGTTAATTTTTTCTTTTTAATATAGGCTGTTTTTCATGTGCAATGGAATCAGGTGTGCGGATCTACAATGTTGACCCCTTAACAGAGAAACTCAGGCTTGGTATTTATACAAATTTCTTTCTTGTATTTACATCTCTGTTTGTATTTCCAAGCACTATAAAACTTTTGAGCACTGCAACATTTGTAAGAAAAAGTTCTTTTTAGTATCTTTTGCAGTCTAGATTCTATAGAATAGATTGATACTGTAAGGTGATTGAAAACACTGTTTAATGTGATTTGTTTTACAGGCATTGAGTCAGTAGGTAGTGTGAGTCAAGTGGAAATGCTTCAAAGAACCAACCTCCTGGCAGTTGTTGGTGGAGGAGCAATGCCAAAATTTGCAGAAAATGCAGGTATAAATACTGGTATTAATCATTTAAAAAGGAACAATAATAAATTGTCTTTATTTTTGGTTTTACTCTTTGGTGTGAGTGGTTTTAGTTGATCTGAAATGTTCAAATATATTTTGTGGTTTCGTAACAGGAATAATATTTCGTAGCAGGAATGATTTTGTTGTAAGCTACAAAATATACAATTGGAATGAAAACATATATACATTTTAGGTGTTAAATTTGGTAAAAGGTGGCTTGTGAATATATTTTGCAGTTCTGTTGTTGGATGATTCTCAGAGAGATATGCAGAAGAAGCTAGTAATGGAAATCACAGTATCCCAGCCGGTGCTTGGTGTCAGACTATGGAGAAAAAGAGAAGTTGAACAGAAGTCCTTTATCAGGTAATATTGTCCATGATGGGAGTGCAAGGACAGTAAAAATTAGCATTAATGATTAATTGAAAAGGTTTATACCAAACTGAAGGAATCAAAAATAAGAAAGGGGTTGCTAAATTGGGTTTAAAGGATAGTTAGATAATAGTATGTTTTAATAATTTTTGAAATCCCATTTGGAGTATGATGAAAATTCTTTATGTGATCTACAAATTGAAGTATATGGTTAGCAAGTGGTGTGTTCTGTAGAAAGTTAATTTTGTTACAAGTAATCTGACTTAAATTCAGCTTAATAGTGGTGCTACGGAACCAGATTTGTGTGTTTGGCATATACTCAGATGATCCTCAGAGTGCAAAGCATTTGGTGACTTTGGACACAAGGGATAATCCTAAAGGTGAGTTAACATATGATACCTGAATGTCAAAATGTTTTTGCCTAAATTTGGTGAGATATTGTAGAACAGACTGTTTAAATAAGAGCAGACACAAAATGTCAAAAGTAATTGTCCTGGTTTATTAAACCCTTTTACAGCCTGTTTGATCTCCAGATTTAATCGGTGCTCTTTCATGATAGGTTTATGTGAAGTCAGCCCAGCCTCTGACAGGCCTATTTTGGCATACCTTGGACACAAGCGAGGCAGCTTGCAGCTGTTGGTGAGTGACTATTCACTATGATAAAATCACTATATGTTCTGTGACAGTCAAAACAATCTGGTAGTGGTTTTATGACCATTTAAAATGATAGAAAAAGCAGTAATTGTACCACCAGCGTTAGCGCTGGCGGTACACATGGTTTCGGTCTTGTCCGGATCGTTCCGCCGGCTCCGTTGGCTCCGCCGGNTAGGCACTACTGGGTTTTTACCACTGCAGGCAGTCTGTGAACGCTTGTAAAGTAAGTTCGATCAAATACCCTGCAGTAATTCATCATTTTGCTCGGTTAAATATGAAAAAAAATACAGAAAACGAAAACTGAACTACAGACATGGCTTGTTCATGCGCAGCAGACGATTCCTGTCTCCCTCCAGCATGGCTGCCGTTTGTTTTGATGACGCAGGCTCTAATGGGTCAATACGAATGCGCTTGCTCCAGCTGGTGGTACAATATTTGGAGGCGGTATCGCCTCTCTGATCCTCTAGTCCTTCATTCATTTTCTTTTGGTTTTGTGAATATTTTTTTACCAGAAGCTGTAGCATATTAGTGCTATGCCTATTGTTTGTTTTGTAGGATTTGTCTAAGGCGTGTGCTCAGCCCAATATGTCAATGTCTCCAGTGACCATCAATGCACATCAGAATGAACTGGCCTGTCTGGCCATTAACCAGGATGGAACCATGGTGGCAACAGCTTCAACCAAGGTGACAAATCAGCTCACTTTTACCCTCCTCAAAATACACATGTTAAAGCCCACATGAGTGTGTGCATGCATGTGTGCAAGCGTGCACACACTAGTTGCATTTTATTTTAGTTTTCATATACTGAACATAGGGAAGTTTCTTCAAATATACCATGTATATTTTTTTCAGATATAATTTAAGAACTTTGATCACAAAATTTCTTTGAATGTAGTAATTCCTTGTCTCATTCATTTTAGGGTACCTTAATCCGCATCTTTGATACAGTAAACAAAAAACAGTTAATTGAGTTGCGCAGAGGTGCTGACCCAGCCACACTGTACTGGTGAGAAATTCTAACATATGGGTATACATGTGTAATCACCTTCCACAAAAGTTTCACCTTATTCCAAATCAAAATCTCAAGAATGTAAATATTTTTAAAGAAAAAGTCATAATTGTGAATACTTACTCAGAAGATGTACATGTATTATATATCATAATTGTGGAAATGATTACAGTTATATTTTTTAAACTGACTTGACTCATTAAAGATGTATTTTTGATTCAGCATCACCTTCAGTCCAGATTCCTCTTTTCTGTGTGTGTCCAGTGACAAGGGAACTGTTCATATATTTGCTGTTAAAGATGAAAAGCTGAACAAACGATCCACGTAAGTAAAGATGTCCCACGTGAATTGTGAAACTTGAATTGTTTTTTGCAATTTTTTTATGATAATGATCAATAAAGTTCTTACAGTCAACAGTCGGTAAATATTGTCAAAGAAGAAAAACAGGCTTGAACCACATACAATAATTTTGACTTTTATTTTATATTAAGGATTCCAAAACAGTCCAATATTATATTGTGCTATTTTTCAGATTTCAAAAAATGAATTTCCTTGGTCAAATTGGCCAGTATGTGGAGTCCCAGTGGGGTCTGGCTAGCTTCACTGTGGCAGCAGAATGTGCTTGTATCTGTGCATTTGGACCACACAGCTCAGTGATAGGTAAGACCCATGATTTGATTGGATTACAAGTTTTGCCTAAGAACTATGGATTCCAACATAAGTTTTCTGTAAGGAAATGTCTTCAGACCAGAATTTTTAAACGTCAAACCTCCACCTGTTTCACATGCACAGTTAATTAATTTTTTTATTCTAGCTGTGTGTGTTGATGGTTCCTTCCACAAGTATGTGTTTACACCTGATGGAAATTGTAACAGGGAGGCCTATGATGTCTACTTGGACCTAGGAGATGATTTAGAGTTTTGAGGATATGTGAATATGTACTACTAATATATGTAGTACATATATTTTAAGTGAAATATACAAGTTAAGGAAAGATATGCGTAGGCTCACTGGTGAGACCCTACAAGTTATATAATCATATTTACCAACTTATTGGTGCTATCAGAAATGGATTTAGACAAATATTTAATGTTGTGAATATGAGTCTGAAATGAAAATAGTTGCATCCCATAGGATGTTGCTTGGAGTTTTGACTGTGTGGCCTTTACCTAGAGTCAACATTGGTATAGACGTGAATATACATGTATCAGTATTGCAAACATGATGCATGTTTTTATGATTAAGTAAGATTAATGCAATAGAACTATACCATTTTTATCTACATGTAATAGCTACATCAGTCTTCCACAGATCACAAGGAGACAAAATATGTATAATAGAAATTGAAATACTTAATTGTGGAAGATAAAAGACAAAATTTGATGTGCATTTGTTGAAATTGCATTTTTGTGAAGTTCTGTTTATTTCAAGTTAATATTTTAACAATAATTGGATATCCTATGGTACTGTATTTGTAGATAGAAATGCAACTGGCTGTGATTGTAGATGTTAAGCAGCTAGTAGTGAACATATCCTGAAGGTAAACCATTTGATTAATTTGGTCTAAACAGAAAATGGCACTATTCATAACAACACACTGGTATATTTTAAAGACATTTGAGATCTGTATTTAATTTGACAAAATGAAAAATCATGTATTTATTGTCATGTATGTACAGTTAATAAATGAAGATATTTTTCAGAACCATGTTTTTTAGTATAAATTGTTGCTGACTGAACACTGAAATGAAAATTAATAAACAAAAAAGATGAATAAAGATTAATATAACAGTTGCCAACAAAACCACGTTGATCAAGAACTGTGGCATGCTCATTGTAATTAAGAGGATTTGCAAGTTTTTAGATGATATTGATGTCATCAACAATAAACTTGGTTTCAAACTCAAAATACAAGTACCTCTGAAATATGAGTTCATTTGATTGATCACTTTAATCAATATGCCTTAATTATACCAAGCTAATGATTACATGCATTCTTTGCATTTACACATTATGTAAGATATTTTTTTAGCAGGGGCAATTATTATATTAATAAAATGAACGTAGCATATGTTTATGACATCTGTATAGGCTACCCTAACCTAAGTTTAAAAGAGGAATATTTGTACTACAAAAAACCAATGAAATATGGCAGTCTCTTCAGACTCAAACATCACGCAGAAATTACAAATCATCATGTGGATGCGTGTTTTTTTGCCTATTTAGTAATTTAATAACCTTCATTTTCTTTTTATTATTTTAGTATATATTTGACATAATACATAATTGTATAATGCACAACAGTTTGCAATATTTCCCCCAAATTGTGCAACATTGTGCTAGTTGTGCGCGCTAACTCCTCATATGTGACAGTAGGAAAATGCGTCAGTTGAGACGATGGTGAAAGAGCCGAGAGAGAAGGTAAACATTACAGAACTCGTGTTTCTCTGGTGATGTGAATTAGGTGGACGAGGTATACTGTTGGAGATAATACCTGTGTGACAGCCGAGCGTGTACAGAAACTTTGATATCAATATATATATATATATATATGTAATACTGTTATATGATAGTACAGAGACTATACTGCTATATTGCAGCGCAGTCGGGGCCGTAGCGATAGTCCGAAGGTTCAATAGTCCGAAGGTTCATTGGTCCGAATGTTCACTATAGAACCTTCGGACCAATGAACCCTTGATTAAAAAATCGATGAAAATGTTACCACTTTTCGGACCAATGAACCTTCGGACCAATGAACCTTCGGACTATAGAGACGCCCCCGCGCAGTCATCGACGGCTTATAAGGTAAGACATTTACATGTGACATACATATATTGTTTCATATAGATTTACGTGTAGTTGTTATTGCTGAATATTGGTGTAACTATTACTGGGGGTTGATCATGAATCGGCAATATAAATTGCAAAGTATATAGATGACGGGATGAATCAATAGTCTGATAGAAAAGGTGTGCCCAACTGATATTTACCACAATACTGCATGTACAGTCAGGTATTTTACATAATTGTTTCAGTATGCTTAGTAATATTGATTCTTTAATTTATTCCAGTTATCACTATGAAGACCAGGTGGTTTGTTGCCAAGTGTCGCAACTTTTCATCTCTGGAGTCCAGTTTATCTTCTGGTATCTGGGGATGCAGAGAAAGGCAGTCCTCTCCTCAGCCAGCAGAGACCTTAAGCCAAGCCATGGAGGGAGGGAGAGTTGTCCTACTCTTCAGTGTTAATAACCAACATGGTTGGCATGGAGCTGCTGTTATGGAAACAGAGCCCGTTGTTATGGAAACAGCACCAACTGTCACAGAGAAGTCACCTGTGGCAAAGCAAATGCCAGCAGTTTGTTGCACTAAGAACCAGATTCCCGTAAAAACTCCTCACCTCAATGGTGACTGCAGTAATTTTGTAAGAGGAGACAGTTACAGATGGTATCAGTTCAAAGTGAAATGGCTAACAGAATTTCAGGGAGAGTTTAAAGAACAATGTCTTCCATTTTCTGCCACAAAAGAATTGGTGCTACTAGACAACACTCCAATAAATAAAGCAAGAAATTTTCAAGAATTGAATGAACACTCTGGCAGAACCTTGTATGAACTTCTGGTCCAGCATTATAACAAATTGTGCAGAGACCGTGAGGAGAAATTAAAGAAAGAGGAAGAGCAGATTCCACCCCCATTTTTCCACCCCAGGGAATCCAGGGATATGCAGGAAGTGTGGCTGCGCATTCTTGAAAAGGTTAAAAATTTGGGAAAAGTATTGCTTGCTTGTGCATTTGGAAGTCAAAGGTGAGCACAAATATAATATAGATAGGTGATAAAAGAATAGGGTTTCACATAATTTTATTTGGCATGTCTTTCAATATGCAAATATTTAATATGCAAATATTCTGAAAACAAATGAAATTTACTTAATTAAAACCAAATTTGACCCTGAAATATTATTTCATAAACTCTACTGTCTGTGTACTTTATTCAAGCAAAGTAATCACCCACTTGATAGATACTCTTGATAATTAAATGCTTAATTTGTCTAATTTCAGGTACAATTTGCACACAGCTGAAAGTGATACAGACATGTTCATAATTTATGCTGCCAGTGCAAAAGATGTGCTGGGATTTAACCCGCCAAAACAGACAATAAAAGTAAAAAAAACTTACTAAATATTATGATTAAAGAATGTTTTGATGATTTTTTTAAAAATGTGCTATGAAATTTCATACCTGTATTTTTTAAAGATTTTTAAGAATTATTTTTCAAGTATTTTGTCCATCAGTAATACATGCTTAACATTAGATTTAAGTAAGAAGATGATTTAATTAGCACATCTTTAAAAAGTTCATCACCACAGTATTATGGTTTGTACAGTCATTCATATATAAATCTTGTCTTACTATAGAAGTTCAAGAAGTCATTGCTTATATTTCAGAACCGTGATACAGAAACCTGTGACTATACAATCCATGAGGTTTTCCGTTACTGTGAGTTACTATTGGGGGGAGACCCTCGCTGTGTAGAAACTCTCTTCCTTCATCCCAGTTGTGTGTTCTATGCAGCAGAGGAATGGCAGGGGCTCTGTCAATATGGAAAGTTATTTTTGACTAAGTATGTCGAGCATTCATTTTATTGGCTCTTTAAGTGACATTGCTAAATAACATAATATTGACACATTCTGTCGTGCTCATGTTTGTAACATTTATATGTAATAATTTTTTTTCACAGTTGCACAAGGTTTTGATTTTTTGTCAGTTGGTCTGGTTGAAATGAGGAGAACTTTAGCGTCTAAATATAATTGAAGTCCTAGTTGCAATAAGAATTGAATATTTTATTTATAGCATATATTTTACTCTTACAGACAATGCTTAGAAAAATACTTAGGTGATGCTACTGGATCTCGAGGACTGAAGCAATTGGAAAAATGGTGGAATCGACAGACAGATGGTGCTGAACTGTTGCCTGTTCATATCAGAAAACTGTTTTACATTGTGATAAGATTATTGCAAAATGCAAGGTAAAAAAAAAGACTCATACAAATTTTTTTATCAGAAATGTGTATCTCTGTATTAATAATTTAATAAACATAAATATAAAGAATTAAATAAGTCACATTTACTTGAGGTGAGGAGTGACAGACAGTGTTACTTTGTTTTAAGGGATGTTTCCAGTGGTGAAGGAATTGTAGTGTACAGACCTCAGCATTCTCCAGGGAGGAAGCTGCTGATGGAGACAAGGCGAGGAGAATACTCGTACAAGTATCTTAAGGAAATAATAGATGGGTAAGAATGTATGAGTTGAATTTTATATGATCAGATGATAATGGTTAGTACCACTAATTGTTTTTTACTTTTATGTAGTTGTACCTTAAGTGACTTAATACTTATTTTGTATTAGATGCGATGAATTAGATAATATATATTTTACCTTTTTGAAGTTTAATGAAATCTATATTTTACAACAGAAAATGACATTATTTTTCGTTTTTGATATCATATTTCAGATTATTGCAAGAAATAGAAGCTAACAAAACAACTAGATTGTTGCCTGAGCAGCCTCCTAAGAAAAAACTGGAGGAATGGTTATTGGAACTCAGATACAATAGCCTAGTGGCTCTCAAGGAAAGCAAAGATGTTATAGGACAGAGTCCAGACATAGATGATAAGGAGTAACCTTGGCATGTGCAATGTACTTTGTTTTGGAATTGGTATCACAAATTTTAAGGAGGATGTGTGTAGTTTTATTTGTAAATTGTTTTTTACTTAATGGATTTCTGGCCACTAGACTTCAATTTTGGGGCCAACTGTCTTGTGAAAAACTTTAAATATTCTTCAACAAAAACTGTGTTTTATCTAGGATGGTTGAAAATTAGAATAGAAACCAATTGTTATTATCTCTGTCCTACTCTTTATCAAAATATATATTCACACTCCTACCTAAGCCTGTAATAATTGTAAAATTGTCACAAGGAAAGATTGTCATCAAATAAAACACCTTTAAAAAATATTTGGAAATGGAATGATGTCCCTAAAATTGTTTACACGACGTAGGACTAACCTACACTGAGACAGGACTCTTCATTTTTTAGGTATTCCAAGAAACATCACATAATAAACCAGATTGTATCTTTAAAATGAAGTTTTATTTTTGTCCATGAAAAAAAAAATTACAAATGATAAATGAATGAAATATATATATACAGCGATGGTAGTGTGCAGATGATGATGTCGATGGCGCATTTTAATGTTATGCAGTGTAAAATGATCTATATCTCAATATGTGAAAATCTTACATAATTCCCATTTCTTTGGAAGCCAATCTTGATAAAGTTCTGTACACTGACACAATTATTGTCATTATTGTATCTGTGTCTGAATAATGGAGTACAGCACTTATACTATGACCACCTCTTCACCTCCAATGTGATTGTATTCGGTCTTGTACATTTTAGGAGCAGTAAATGTAGATTTAGGTCCAGGCTCTGGTAGAACATATGGAGTGTCTACAGGGCAGAAGAAAATGTCTCTAAGTTTGACATCAGAGGGAGTTACATAAGAGTCCTGTTGCAGAGACTTGAGACCACTATGAGGGACAGGCAGCATAGCATTGGGTTGACGTGGAATCTTTGTCTTGAATTTAAACCAAGTTGGGTCACGCATTGGAAGATTTTCTCTTGGTACTGTGTCTTTTGGCACAGGGCTGGAAAATCAATAAAAAACATTTAAATCAATATGCATTATACACATTATACACAGATATACATGAACACCTTAATGTTAAGCACTATATATACATTTCAACATTTTTCATGGATCATATTTGGCAGATTTGTTGCATCTGTTATGGAGGGTTGATGTTTCTTGGATTAGTGCAATAGTAACTGATTAAACATGTTGATTATAAGCAGTTTGATATACTCACTTGTGTTTTTGCCCATGTCCCCATGCCTTGGGGTACTCCTCACACTCCCAGTATGTTGTTGCATCTTTTCTTGGATAGCCATCCAACTCGTGTCTGGAGAAAGCCCTGTGGTCTTTGTTGGTTGTGGTCAAGTAGGTGTCGTCCAGTCTGAGTACACCCTTGTCTTTGGGGTAGAAGACCATCCCCTTGATCTTCTCATTCAGAGTGGATGGAACCATTTTCTGTAATAAAATGGAGATTTTTAATTACTGCTTTTATTTGATCTGCTGATGACTCAGAAAGTGAGAACTCATACTTGAGAATTTCTTTATTTGAAAAACAAGAAAAATTGCACAAATTAAATATATAGGGGCTTACTTTACTACCTCAAGGTACTAGTACCACCTTAAATAGCATATTTCCAATAATCAATACAAAACCTTACTCCTTAGTCTAAAGTTGCCAATAAACAAAAAAATATCATACCAAGTACTGTATAATCTTTGGCTAGCATCTTCTATAAATATATATATTGGGNCATCATTTTTAATGTATTATCTTTAATTTCTGAACATGTGTAGACATTAAAAGGGTATATGTAACTTAATAGACAGTGCACTTGTACCATATACTGGTAGGTATGTATTGTGACCAAATGACTTTCACCCATCTGCTCAGCATTTAAATGATAAATAAGTGTTAGAACATTCCAGTTCTGGCAGAATTCTTTATTTACATGTTAGTGATAGTTGATGTATATACTCTGAAGTGAATTGCAATTTGTCTATATCTGCCAATTGGGGAAGTCCCGTAAGTGTGATCACAGCTGGGGACACATTTATCAAGGCTAAAGTTATAGCACAAAGATGTTGTTTTAATTTATTCTGTGATTGTAAATACAATGTTACTTTTTATGCTGCATTTATAGTGAACTGTGTTGTGAAAGTAAAATTGTAATTTTTACCATTTATGTCCTGGGGGGAGGGGGTTTGTTATAACCATTAGATAATTAGAAAGTACAAGTGATTATGACAAAATAAGTAAACTGTGTTATGTCCTTTTTAACACAAAAAGGTTCAGTGACAGGCCTACCCAACTACCAGACACTGAATGATCCAGAATTCACCGGTAGATCGGATCACACTACCCATTTTCAACGTGTGCGTCAGAACGCATTTCACAGTATCATACCCTGAACAAATTTTGAGTGGTGATGCAATACTTTCCAACCCCACTGAGAATCAGCACTATCACATCGTGTACTAGGCAAGAGCAGTGTCGAATCTGATATTTCGAAGTGCGTACTAACGCACACCTTGAAAATGGTTAATGTGGTTCGATCTACCAGTGAGTTCAGGATCATTTGGTGCTGAGTCTGGTAGTTGGGTAGGCCTGAGTCACATATACATGTAAATGGGCTTTTAAAGCCCTGAAGGGAATTTGTAGTGGTTTAATAAGCCATTGTACCAGAAAGTTATAGCAGTTTGCAAATGGCCTAGCATATCATCTCATGCCATATAAAAATGCCAATAGTTTGATTTATCAGTTGATCATACTGAAAATTTTGACAATATCGTACATCTCTTGCAATGAAGCAAAGTGATGAATTTGTTGATCAAAACCATCGAAATAAATTATTTTGTCTGAGATTTTCAAATGTGGAGGGATACCTGGACCTTTTGCTTTAAGCACATTGTGTAAAACATACATTGCATGCGGTTAGAAACAATACATACTGTTTTCATGTACCACTAAGTGCCACCAGGATTTAAAAATTTAGCTTACTGTAATTGTCGATTAATTTTAATATATTAATTTAATATTTATACTGATATAAATCCACATTGCATGAATCTCTGTTTATCTGTTAAATAATAAATGTTTGCAAATATCCATATATGAAGGATAAATAAATATAAAGATTTGATGTAACACTGCTTTAATTTGGCTTTTGGAATGTGGTGACTAAATATTGCACATAATTTGGAGAAAGCAAAATATCACAAAAACTAAAAACAAATTGGAATCACTGCCTTAAAGTTACTCTTACAAAATTCCTGATACAATATTAAGATGCACATTGAGTGCATACATTTAAAAGTTGTTACTGTATAAAACTTAAAAGGGATTCTTTGGTTATAATGGACAATTATAAATACTTCCTTAGCATCATACATTAAAGTAAAAACAAAACAGAAATACAAAACCAAAAATTCTTGGTTCAACTTGTTACAAACATATGACTGCTGATCAATGAAGGACAACCGCCACCAGCTTAAATTCTTGTTTCACAGTAAGTGGTGATAAAAGGGATTCACATCCAGAGAACACTCTGCACAAGGAAACTCTTTGGTGAAAAATGGTTCATACCTATAATAAAGAAATATAAATGGATGTACATGTGATTAGCTATGATAAAAGGTTAATTAAAATATGTATTTTTTAATGCCACCCAACTTCAGGTAAACTAAAAGATTACAACATGTAACTGTCTGAACCATGAGCTTCAGATGCCCAAGGTCTGACAGCTTCTTATTTTCAAACCATTATTATCAAAAGCACATTAGCCATGATCTTCACTATTCACAAATGCTTGATTTTTAGAAATGTCCATTCTATCATCAGGGCTTGACATTAAGGGTGGCCCACTGGCCCTGGGCCACTGAAAACCAACCTAGGGCCATTGAATCACTGGGGTCACTGGCCCAAAGAGCAAGTAAAATGTCATATGTCAAATCATCCTCACAATATTTACCGATATCTTGGGCCAGTATCGAAAAAAGTTAGTGTCAAGCCCTGATCATGTGGATGCCAGGCTCCCATTATATATGGTGTGATGTATATCTGGCATTTAAAAAGTACGTAAATTATTCCAGCCTATTTTCACTCAAATCTTGACAAATTTATTTGAATAAATATCTGGAAAGAGAGGTCTCTGATAGCTTTTTAATGCATAAGCAAAAATTTTGCCCAAGAAACCAAAGTGAACAAGGAGTTTGGTTGATTTGGTGATTGATAATTTGATTGGTTGATTAACTGGGAAGGCTATTTCACAGTCCGTCATCGAGATCTGCAAGAACCTGAAGCTCAGGGTGGTACTGAGATGTAAAAATAAATGGTTATTGGTTGTCATTTAAAAATTAAGATCTAATTCAGTGTCTTACTTAATTTGCAAAAGTACACCTGAGACATCTGCCAATATCGCCCACAACCACATTACATGTATACAACACATACCATAAGTTAACTGCCAAATTCCTGTGATCCTGTTGTCCAGGAGATGACATGACTTCATGCCACCAGTATGCAGGCATGAACAGAGCTTCTCCCTCATTTATAGTGCAGTTCATAGGGTAAGCACCTTAAAATGAGAAAGATTTTCTTTATTTTGTTGTTCAAAGTAAAAATACCAATGTTGATATTTCAATATTAAAACATCACACTATCACATCTCAAGCACAAGTACCACACAAGCATATCTCTGTCACACAGCAAACTAACATGCCCCAGCTAGCACACCCTATTTGTCACACCAAACAAATTATCACATCTCTAACACAACTACCACACTACTGCACCTTTGTTACACTTATATCACACTATATCAAATCTCTACCATGCTTATGCCATTTTCACAATTATAAAATATGCATACCTAGCATGGCATCAAATATTTGCCACACCTAGCACATCACAACATCTCTGACATTGCTCAAGATACCACCGCATCTCTGCCACACTTAGCTCACACATCTGTATCACACTTTGTGTGCAACTTATTTGTTAGATTTAAGACATTCACTCTTCTTTCACATCTAGAACACTACTAGTTAACTACCTCATTTGCACTGCACTTTAATCATGCTCAATTCTTTGATAAAACATACATATATGCAATACTGTCCAGGAACAATATGTGAAAATATTAATATAGTCTAATTTCTGATAAAAAAAAACAAGGCAAGAAAGTTAACAAATATTTGTATCTCTGTCATTAAAATATGATATTTTAAGTGAAAGAAAAAAGACAATAAAACTGAATAATCAGGCATTTTTTTCCTCTTTGACACCCCTTGCTATGAATCATAATGTAATCGATATATATTGTATAGTCACCTGCAAACTTGGGAAACCTCTGAAAGTCTGGATTACGGATGTCTACTGGTGACATAACCATTGAGGTGCTGTCCAAAAGGCCCTTTCTCAGAAACTGCTTTGTGGTTTTATTAAACTTCAGCAAAGCTTCTGGAATGTGGGCCTCGTAGAGGTTTGTGTTGTCATGGGGATCAAACAAGGTCACTTCCTTCTGGCCACTTAACTACAAATGGAAAATGAAAATCGCTGTGTTACACAATCCACAAAATACCCTAGTAATACTTCTTAGGCCAGATAACTGTCAAAAACAACAATGTTACCATTAGAGTAAAGAAATATATTGCATTATAGTGATTAAATAATCAACTTTCTACATTTACCTGGAACAGTAAGTTGTCAAATGGATCAAAATGCAACCGTCCCAGAGTGTAACCATCACTTAGCCAGATATTTAGGTGTCTTCTTTTCAGTAAGCCTTTGACAAACCCTGGTTCTTTTATATCCTGCTCAAGGCTAGGGAAATACTGGGGAATAGAAGTGTATTCAAGATAGGCAGAATAGTTGCGGTGCTTCCCATGATTTTTATCATTACTTAGCATCTCTAAAAAAATTGAAAAATTTACATTCAGTGTGGCAGGTCTTACAACCACCAAATCTGGGAAGTGTAATTGCTTTTTAACATCTGTTGGTATGGTGAATGTTTTGTGATCTTCCCATAATTCTGCCTTTTCCACACCTTCAAAGTCACCATTTGGAGTCAGTTTGACATGCACTTCTTCATGCAAATACCTTTCCTTAAAATAATCAGTCGTCCACTTCGAGAGCGCAGCCCAATCCTTCATAGTGCCCCTAATTATAACAGGTTTGGAACGCTTGACATACTCATGAAAGAATTCCTCTTTAGTGGGCATGTGGATTCTATCACAAACTGCTAAATGTTTATGTCTGGCTGCTGTCCCACTGGAAGATGCACATGTGTCTATCTGGCTAGCAACACAGTCATAATTTTTATCATCACCACGCTGTGTGTCATGCTGATCACTACCCTGGACCTTGGACAGCCAGCTCTGATATCTCAACAGTAATGGGTTTGGCTGACTGTTGAACAAAGAGGACATACTGGCAATATTTTCTGAGGAATGCACCACGTGAAAGAGATTTTGAAGAATGTCTAACCTGTGTAATCCCTCCACTGACACATGCCCTGAGTCAGTTCTGAAAGAATCGCAGACATTATTGACAAATTGCACCACGGATGACAGTGTCACATGCCCGCTGTAAACTTCTGCCTCTGGTGTCCACATATTCGCAGGAGCGGGCAGTAGACATGTACGATCGTTTTTTCTCTTCCGAAATGCAATAAAATGCGTGTTGTTGTTAGGTCTTTTATTCGCCCACTTAATTTTCCTATTAAAAGGCCACGCGAATCCTTGAATATCCAATGATCCAAATGTCACGTTTTCCTCTTTAAAAATGCCCTGTAATTCTTCCAAGATTTTAGATGTTGAGGGGACTTTGGTCACAGCGGCGACGACACAGGATGTTTCCACTGCATGCAAAATATCATCGGATTTTAAATTATGTACACATTGAGAGAATTTTACCAGTAAAATGCACATTGTGATGTACAGAGTCCATATTCCCATCCTCGGCAGTCATTTAGTATAAGACTTACATAGAGGGATTACGTGTCCAAATGCTAGAGGATTTTCATTCTGTTGTTGATGCCCTGGTTGATTATAGGTGTCAGGACGACCAGACAAGCTAATCACTTTCCTTTTCTTATTAAAATTTTTGACTGGTTATAAGTCAAATTTTCCAGCAATGGACGTTATTTATATACACAAACAATTTGAAAATCTTTAAGATAGTACTGAAAGTTCAGGTAGAATTGACATTCCACGAGACTTAAAATTATTAGATTCATTGTATTGAAGATAAACTCCACCTATAGTTCTTAATCCTACCAAAACAGAGAGAGATGACAGCAAACCTAGAAATTATATTTTGAAACGGAGTTTATCAGCCATGTCCAGCAGGGGAGTGAATAACCTGCGATTTAATCAAGATCATGGTATTTAATATTTAATGTTTCAGAATGTGATGTAATAATCTTCTTGAATACAATGTTTATGTACTACATGCATTTCCTACATTTTACCTGTAGTTTTTATTTCCTGAATATACACTGTAATTATTAATAATTTTCGTATGTTGTGCAAGAAAACAAACGAAATACTTGCCCAAATAATGGTAATAATTGTCAATTAAAATAGTCCAATGTGATATGTTTTATTTATTTATTTATTTATTTATTTATTTATTTATTTTATTTAGCAGTATTTATTTTATATACTCTCCTGGCAGCCAGAAAATATTCAGTCCCATTTAACATTTTTAAAGCCTAAGGCCTGTTTGTGATCTTTTTGGTATGATATTGTTCCTTTATTAATTTATCCAGATATTAATATGTGGTGTTTCCCACTTAACCATGGAAATGACCCTTTGATTACATTTAATTATAGGTAAATGAAAAAAGGAAATGTGTTTGAAGTTAATTTTTTCTTTTTAATATAGGCTGTTTTTCATGTGCAATGGAATCAGGTGTGCGGATCTACAATGTTGACCCCTTAGCAGAGAAACTCAGGCTTGGTATTTATACAAATTTCTTTCTTGTATTTACATCTCTTTTTGTATTTCCAAGCACTATAAAACTTTTGAGCACTGCAACATTTGTAAGAAAAAGTTCTTTTTAGTAGTCTAGATTCTATAGAATAGATTGATACTGTAAGGTGATTGAAAACACTGTTTAATGTGATTTGTTTTACAGGCATTGAGTCAGTAGGTAGTGTGAGTCAAGTGGAAATGCTTCAAAGAACCAACCTCCTGGCAGTTGTTGGTGGAGGAGCAATGCCAAAATTTGCAGAAAATGCAGGTATAAATACTGGTATTAATCATTTAAAAAGAAACAATGATAAATTGTCTTTATTTTTGGTTTTACTCTTTGGTGTGAGTCTATGTGGTTTTAGTTGATCTGAAATGTTCAAATATATATTTTGTGGTTTCGTAACAGGAATAATATTTCGTAGCAGGAATGATTTTGTTGTAAGCTACAAAATATACAATTGGAATGAAAACATATATACATTTTAGGTGTTAAATTTGGTAAAAGGTGGCTTGTGAATATATTTTGCAGTTCTGTTGTTGGATGATTCTCAGAGAGATATGCAGAAGAAGCTAGTAATGGAAATCACAGTATCCCAGCCGGTGCTAGGTGTCAGACTATGGAGAAAAAGAGAAGTTGAACAGAAGTCCTTTATCAGGTAATGTTGTCCATGATGGGAGTGCAAGGACAGTAAAAATTAGCATTAATGATTAATTGAAAAGGTTTATGCCAAACTGAAGGAATCAGAAATAAGAAAGGGGTTGCTAAATTGGGTTTAAAGGATAGTTAGATAATAGTATGTTTTAATAATTTTTGAAATCCTATTTGGAGTATGATGAAAATTCTTTATGTGATCTACAAATTGAAGTTAATGGTTAGCAAGTGGTGTGTTCTGTAGAAAGTTAATTTTGTTACAAGTAATCTGACTTAAATTCAGCTTAATAGTGGTGCTACGGAACCAGATTTGTGTGTTTGGCATATACTCAGATGATCCTCAGAGTGCAAAGCATTTGGTAACTTTGGACACAAGGGATAATCCTAAAGGTGAGTTAACATATGATACCTGAATGTCAAAATGTTTTTGCCTAAATATGGTGAGATATTGTAGAACAGACTGTTTAAATAAGAGCAGACACAAAATGTCAAAAGTAATTGTCCTGGTTTATTAAACCCTTTTACAGCCTGTTTGATCTCCAGATTTAATCGGTGCTCTTTCATGATAGGTTTATGTGAAGTCAGCCCAGCCTCTGACAGGCCTATTTTGGCATACCTTGGACACAAGCGAGGCAGCTTGCAGCTGTTGGTGAGTGACTATTCACTATGATAAAATGAATATATGTTCTGTGACAGTCACAACAATCTGGTAGTGGTTGTATGACCACTTGAAATGATAGAAAAAGCAGTAATCCTTCATTCATTGTACCACCAGCGTTAGCGCTGGCGGTACACATGGTTTCGGTCCCGTCCGGATCGTTCCGCCGGCTCCGCCGGCTCCGCCGGTTCCGCCGGCTCCGCCGGCTCCGCCGGCTCCGCCGGACGGCTACCGTTACCGCTTCTCCTCCTAGACGGTAAGGGCCCCCGTACCCCTCTNTATATGCGGCGTTGATTTCTTTATGATGTCCCATCTAATGTCATACTGGGTTTTATTTTCTGTTAATTTCCATATGTATTTGGATAACTCAGTATCTGCAGCATATTTCTTGTCACTAAATGACTTGGTGTGATTATTGTATCTCAACTTAAATTGGCCACCACAAAGCCCTATATATTTCATGCATTTGTCCTTAGTAGTGACTGATGCTTGGTACACATATATATATATATTAATGTTATTATTTTTTTTTATTGAGTTTAAGCAATTTTTTTCTTAATTCTCACTTATTCTCATTCTGGCATTTCCAAAGTATGAACTTTAACTCTTATCAGCCTGAAGCCTTAGGGACCATTTCCAGACCCTGTCACGCTAACTGTGGGTTGATCTATCTCCAAGGGAATTCTCGCTAAATTGCAATCAATGTATGTGGCTTAGCTGTCCTACTGAAACTGGCATGCCAGAATCCTAAGCCGCTTAAGCTGAAAGCAATTTAGTTAGAAACCCCTTCGAGTTGGATTGATCCTTGTAGATTGATCTAGGTATGAGAACTCGGTCTAATGCTTGTTACATATTTTACTTTCACCCTAATCCGCAGTTGCGCTGAATTAAAATTTGATGTTGGCTATGCAGTTAAGCATAATACATAAGTGCATCAGAATTAACAGTATCCCATTTTCTGCTTTTTTATTTTCTGTTTTTTGTCTGTACATTTGACAGCTTTGCTGCCTTGTTTATGTTTATGATTGAAAAAGTTCTTACAGTCAACAGTCAGTAAATATTGCCAAAGAAGAAAAGCAGGCTCGAACCACATACAGTAATTTTGACATGAAACCTTTATTTTATATTAAGGATTCCAAAACAGTCCAATATTATATTGTGCTATTTTTCAGATTTCAAAAAATGAATTTCCTTGGTCAAATTGGTCAGTATGTGGAGTCCCAGTGGGGTCTGGCTAGCTTCACTGTGGCAGCAGAATGTGCTTGTATCTGTGCATTTGGACCACACAGCTCAGTGATTGGTAAGACCCATAACTTGATTGGATTATAAGTTTTGCCTAAGAACTATGGATTCTAACATAAGTTTTCTGTAAGGAAATGTCTTCAGACCAGAATTTTTTAACGTCAAACCTCCACCTTTTTCACATGCACAGTTAATTAATTTTTTTATTCTAGCTGTGTGTGTTGATGGTTCCTTCCACAAGTATGTGTTTACACCTGATGGAAATTGTAACAGGGAGGCCTATGATGTCTACTTGGACCTAGGAGATGATTTAGAGTTTTGAGGATATGTGAATATGTACTACTAATATATGTAGTACATATATTTTAAGTGAAATATACAATTTAAGGAAAGATATGCGTAGGCTCACTGGTGAGACCCTACAAGTTATATCATCATACTTACCAACTTATTGGTGCTATCAGAAATGGATTTAGACAAGTATTTAATGTTGTGAATATGAGTCTGAAATGAAAATAGTTGCATCCCATAGGATGTTGCTTGGAGTTTTGACTGTGTGGCCTTTACCTAGAGTCAACATTGGTATAGACGTGAATATACATGTATCAATATTGCAAACATGATGCATGTTTTTATGATTAAGTAAGATGCCATTAATGCAATAGAACTACTAGTATACCATTTTTTTTCTACATGTAATAGCTACATCAGTCTTCCACAGATCACAAGGAGACAAAATATGTATAATATAAAATTAAAATACTTAATTGTGGAAGATAAAAGACAAAATTTGATGTGCATTTGTTGAAATTGCATTTTTGTGAAGTTCTGTTTATTTCAAGTTAATATTTTAACAATAATTGGATATCCTATGGTACTGTATTTGTAAATAGAAATGCAACTGGCTGTGATTGTAGATGTTAAGCAGCTAGTAGTGAACATATCCTGAAGGTAAACCATTTGATTAATTTGGTCTAAATAGAAAATGGCAGTATTCATAACAACACACTAGTATATTTTAAAGACATTTGAGATCTTTATTTAATTTGACAAAATGAAAAATCATGTATTTATTGTCATGTATGTACAGTTAATAAATGAAGATATTTTTCAGAACCATGTTTTTATTATAAATTGTGTTTCTGACTGAACACTGAAATGAAAATTAATAAACAAAGAAGATGAATAAAAATTATTAAAACTGCCAACAAACCATTCCGTTGATCAAGAACTGTGGCATGCTCATTGTAATTAAGAGAATTTGCAAGTTTTTAGGTGATATTGATGTCATCAACAGTTATCTTGGTTTCAAACTCAAAATACAAGTACCTCTGAGATGCGAGTTCATTTGATTGATCACTTTAATCAATATGCCTTAATTATACCAAGCCAATGATTACATGCATTCTTTGCATTTACACATCATGTAAAATGTTTTTTTTGGGAGGGGCGATTATTATATTAATAAAATGAACGTAGCATACTTTTATGACATCTGTACAGGCTACCCTAACCCAAGTTTAAAAGAGGAATATTTGTACTACAAAAAAACCAATGAAATATGGCAGTCTCTTCAGACTCAAACATCACGCAGAAACTACAAATCATCATGTGGATGCCTGTTTTTTTTTTTTTTTTGCCTATTTAGTAATTTAATAACTTTCATTTTCTTTTTATTATTTTAGTATATATTTGACATAATATATAATTGTATAATGCACAACAGTTTGCAATATTTCCCCCAAATTGTGCAACATTGTGCTAGTTGTGAGCGCTTAATCCACATATGTAACAGTAGGAAAATGCATCAGTTGAGACGATGGTCAAAGAGCCGCGAGAGAAGGTAAACATTACATTTACAGAGCTCGTGTGTTCCGGCAATGGGAATTAGTTGGACGGGAGGTATACTGTTGGAGATAATACCTGTGTGACAGCCGAGCGTGTGCAGAAGCTTTGATTTCAATATATATTTGTAATACTGTTATGTGATAGTACAGACAGACTCTCTCTAACCGTACTACCGCTATATTTCAGCCCAGTCACCGACGGCTTATAAGGTATGGCTGTTACATGTTACATACATCAGGAGGTGGAAACGCGCTACTTATATGATTATGACGAGTCTAACCGTCAGTACCGGATATTGGTTTGTGACCTTGAGGGGCAATAAGGCTTGGTCTTTGCGGCACGCATGAACAGTAGTCGATTTACCACACCTGGGTCTTTTGTTTTTGACAACTGTTCACTGGTCATCGAGGTGCCTGTTCAAGACTACAGACTGATATCTACTAGTACTACCAGTGGCTTCATTGGTAACGTTCCCACAATACATGGTTTTCTGTCTGTGCGTACATACCCTGAATTTGGTTAGCCTCACTGACGAGAACAATGGACGTTTCTTACCCCTCTCTAGGATTACCCCTGCATACATATATTGTTTCATATTAATAGATCTACGTGTAGTTGTTATTGCTGAATAGTGGTGTAACTATTACTGGGGTTGATCATAAATTGGCAGTTTAAATTGCAAAGTATATAGATGACAGGATGAATCAATAGTTTAATAGAAAAGTTGTGCCCAATTGATATTTACCACTACATGTATAATGCGGGGCCGTAGCGATAGTCCGAAGGTTCAATAGTCCGAAGGTTCATTGGTCCGAATGATCACTATAGAACCTTCGGACCAATGAACCCTTGATTAAAAAATCGATGAAAATGTTACCACTTTTCGGACCAATGAACCTTCGGACTATCGAGACGCCCCCGTATAATGCATGTCATGTACAGTCAAGTATTTTACATAATTGTTTCATATTGCTTAGTAATATTGATTCTTTAATTTATTCCAGTTATCACTATGAAGACCAGGTGGTTTGTTGCCAAGTGTCGCAACTTTTCATCTCTCGAGTCCAGTTTATCTTCTGGTATCTGGGGATGCAGAGAAAGGCAGTCCTCTCCTCAGCCAGCAGAGACCTTAACTCAAGCCATGGATGGAGGGAGAGTTGTCCTACTCTTCAGTGTTAATAACCAACATGGTTGGCATGGAGCTGCTGTTATGGAAACAGCACCAACTGTCACAGAGAAGTCACCTGTGGCAAAGCAAATGCCAGCAGTTTGTTGCACTAAGAACCAGATTCCCATAAAAACTCCTCACCTCAATGGTGACTGCAGTAATTTTGTAAGAGGAGACAGTTACGGATGGTATCAGTTCAAAGTGAAATGGCTAACAGAATTTCAGGGAGAGTTTAAAGAACAATGTCTTTCATTTTCTGCCACAAAAGAATTGGTGCTACTAGACAACACTCCAATAAATAAAGCAAGGAATTTTCAAGAATTGAATGAACACTCTGGCAGAACCTTGTATGAACTTCTGGTCCAGCATTATCACAAATTGTGCAGAGACCGTGAGGAGAAATTAAAGAAAGAGGAAGAGCAGATTCCACCCCCATTTTTCCACCCCAGGGAATCCAGGGATATGCAGGAAGTGTGGTCGCGTATTCTTGAAAAGGTTAAAAATTTGGGAAAAGTATTGCTTGCTTGTGCATTTGGAAGTCAAAGGTGAGCACAAATATAATATAGATAGGTGATAAAAGAATAGGGTTTCACATAATTTTATTTGGCATGTCTTTTAATATGCAAATATTTAATACGCAAATATTCTGAAAACAAAAGAAACCAAATTTGACCCTGAAATATTATTTCATAAATATGATCCATATGAAATATCATTTCATAATCACCCACTTGATAGATACTCTTGATAATTAAATGCTTAATTTGTCTAATTTCAGGTACAATTTGCACACAGCTGAAAGTGATACAGACATGTTCATAATTTATGCTGCCAGTGCAAAAGATGTGCTGGGATTTAACCCACCAAAACAGACAATAAAAGTAAAAAAAAAACTTACTAAATATTGTGATTGTTGAAGATATTAATCAATTTTTTACACACGTGATATAAAATTTCAATCCTAAATTTTTAAGGATTTTTAAAAATGATTTTTCATCATTTTTTGTTCATCATTAATACATGCTAAACATCAGATCTAAGTAAGATGATTTAATAAGCACATCTTTAAAAAGTTCATCATCGCAGATGCTATGGTCGTTTGTACAGTCTTTCATATATATTAATTTTGTCTTACTATTAAAGTCCAATAAATCATTGCTTATATTTCAGAATCGTGATACAGAAACCTGTGACTATACAATCCATGAGGTTTTCCGTTACTGTGAGTTACTATTGGGGGGAGACCCTCGCTGTGTAGAAACTCTCTTCCTTCATCCCAGTTGTGTGTACTATGCAGCAGAGGAATGGCAGGGGCTCTGTCAATATGGAAAATTATTTTTGACTAAGTATGTCCAGCATTCTTTTTTTTGGCTGTTTAAAAAACCTAAAATTTTGGCTTTCAGTGACATTGCTTAATAACATAACATTGACACATTCTGTCGTGCTCATGTTTGTAACATTTATATGTAATAATTTTTTTTCACAGTTGCACAAGGTTTTGATTTTTTGTCAGTTGGTCTGGTTGAAATGAGGAGAACTTTAGCGTCTAAATATAATTGAAGTCCTAGTTGCAATAAGAATTGAATATTTTATTTATAGCATATATTTAACTCTTACAGACAGTGCTTAGAAAAATACTTAGGTGATGCTACTGGATCTCGAGGACTGAAGCAATTGGAAAAGTGGTGGAATCAACAGACAGATGGTGCTGAACTGTTGCCTGTTCATATCAGAAAACTGTTTTACATTGTGATAAGATTATTGCAAAATGCAAGGTAAAAAAAAAGACCCATACAAATTTTTTGATCACCATATTAAGACTTTAATTTAGATAAATTTAAAGAATTTAATAAGTCACATTTACTTGAGGTGAGGAGTTACAGGGAGTGTCACCTTGTTTTAAGGGATGTTTCCAGTGGTGAAGGAATTGTAGTGTACAGACCTCAGCATTATCCAGGGAGGAAGCTGCTGATGGAGACAAGGCAGGGAGAATACTCGTACAAGTATCTTAAGGAAATAATAGATGGGTAAGAATGTATGAGTTGAATTTTATATGATCAGATGATAATGGTTAGTACCACTAATTGTTTTTTACTTTTATGTAGTTGTACCTTAAGTGACTTAATACTTATTTTGTATTAGATGCGATGAATTAGATAATATATATTTTACCTTTTTGAAGTTTAATGAAATCTGTATTTTACAACAGAAAATTACATTATTTTTCGTTTTTGATATCATATTTCAGATTATTGCAAGAAATAGAAGCTAACAAAACAACTAGATTGTTGCCTGAGCAGCCTCCTAAGAAAAAACTGGAGGAATGGTTATTGGAACTCAGATACAATAGCCTAGTGGCTCTCAAGGAAAGCAAAGATGTTATAGGACAGAGTCCAGACATAGATGATAAGGAGTAACCTTGGCATGTGCAGTGTACTTTGTTTTGGAATTGGTATCACAAATTTTAAGGAGGATGTGTGTAGTTTTATTTGTAAATTGTTTTTTACTTAATGGATTTCTGGCCACTAGACTTCAATTTTGGGGCCAACTGTCTTGTGAAAACTTTGAATATTCTTCAACAAAAACTGTGTTTTATCTAGGATGGTTGAAAATTAGAATAGAAACCAATTGTTATTATCTCTGTCCTACTCTTTATCAAAATATATATTCACACTCCTACCTAAGCCTGTAATAATTGTAAAATTGTCACAAGGAAAGATTGTCATCAAATAAAACACCTTTAAAAAATATTTGGAAATGGAATGATGTCCCTAAAATTGTTTACACGACGTAGGACTAACCTACACTGAGCCAGGACTCTTCATTTTTTAGGTATTCCAAGAAACATCACATAATAAACCAGATTGTATCTTTAAAATGAAGTTTTATTTTTGTCCATGAAAAAAAAAAAAAATTACAAATGATAAATGAATGAAATATATATATACAGCGATGGTGGTGTGCAGATGATGATGTCGATGGCGCATTTTAATGTTATGCAGTGTAAAATGTTCTATATCTCAATATGTGAAAATCTTACATAATTCCCATTTCTTTGGAAGCCAATCTTGATAAAGTTCTGTACACTGACACAATTATTGTCATTATTGTATCTGTGTCTGAATAATGGAGTACAGCACTTATACTATGACCACCTCTTCACCTCCAATGTGATTGTATTCGGTCTTGTACATTTTAGGAGCAGTAAATGTAGATTTAGGTCCAGGCTCTGGTAGAACATATGGAGTGTCTACAGGGCAGAAGAAAATGTCTCTAAGCTTGACATCAGAGGGAGTTACATAAGAGTCCTGTTGCAGAGACTTGAGACCACTATGAGGGACAGGCAGCATAGCATTGGGTTGACGTGGAATCTTTGTCTTGAATTTAAACCAAGTTGGGTCACGCATTGGAAGATTTTCTCTTGGTACTGTGTCTTTTGGCACAGGGCTGGAAAATCAATAAAAAACATATAAATCAATATGCATTATACACATTATACACAGATATACATGAACACCTTAATATTAAGCACTATATATACATTTCAACATTTTTCATGGATCATATTTGGCAGATTTGTTGCATCTGTTATGGAGGGTTGATGTTTCTTGGATTAGTGCAATAGTAACTGATTAAACATGTTGATTATAAGCAGTTTGATATACTCACTTGTGTTTTTGCCCATGTCCCCATGCCTTGGGGTACTCCTCACACTCCCAGTATGTTGTTGCATCTTTTCTTGGATAGCCATCCAACTCGTGTCTGGAGAAAGCCCTGTGGTCTTTGTTGGTTGTGGTCAAGTAGGTGTCGTCCAGTCTGAGTACACCCTTGTCTTTGGGGTAGAAGACCATTCCCTTGATCTTCTCATTCAGAGTGGATGGAACCATTTTCTGTAATAAAATGGAGATTTTTAATTACTGCTTTTATTTGATCTGCTGGTGACTCAGAAAGTGAGAACTCATACTTGAGAATTTCTTTATTTGAAAAACAAGAAAAATTGCACAAATTAAATATATAGGGGCTTACTTTACTACCTCAAGGTACCACCATAAATAGCATATTTCCAATAATCAATACAAAACCTTACTCCTTAGTCTACAGTTGCCAATAAACAAAATAATATCATACCAAGTAATGTATAATCTTTGGCTAGCATCTTCTATAAATATATATATTGGTAACTGTCATGAAAAAATGTGACATATAATCTAGTAAAAAAATATTCTATTTACCTTTGATGGTCCTTCATTGTGATGATTAAGTAAATTGAATGGCTGTGGATTTGGTGTGAATTCTTGAGTGCCTACATTTAAACCTCGTTTGTTGTCAAATTGGTCCTGTTGCTCTGTTTTCTGGTTGCCCATTGTCAAAGGCTTCCTCCAACTTCCCTTACCAAGCTGGAAATAGAAAAAAAAATTTACCTATATAATAAAAAAATTACAATACACATATACTTCCCCTCAATATCTACACAATTATTTGTAAAATGGTACATGCATGTGCTTAACTTTTTTTCTTTTGAAAAAAAAGTAGACATACAAAAGCAAGAATAATACAATGTAACAATTAAGAATTTTAATTACCTTTTCAATGTGGTCTTTCACATATCCAACTTTCCAGTGACCTGGAGCTTTTTTATGAATGGGGTTGGAATAAACGCCATCTAGGTATTTCTTGTCATGAAAATGTCCGGTTGTTGTTTCGAATCTCCGTGTATTTGTTATTTCATCTTGTTTGGCAAGGCTTGGTGGCATCGGCTCATTCAGAACAGGCTGGAATACAATATAAATATATATAGATACTTCTGGAATATATTAATACAGACCACCGAATATATTATTACAGACCACAGTTACCGAATTGCACTGCTCACCGAGTTACTCGTTTAACAGTCAAATTGTATTTTATTACCATGTTATTTTAAAATTAGATTTTTTAATATGTGAATTACCTGATAATTTGAACTTGGGAAGTAATACCCTGGCCTATAATCATGGCCAACGCCTGTACTGGTGTGGTGCAGATCTTGACGCCTTGCCTCCATCGTGACTTGTGAGTGAATGTTTGGTTGTCATGTGTAACAATGACGCTATATACACTGGCAAAGCATTGTGGGTAAGTGGCCGATTGGCTTACTTTTCTACTCCGCAGAACTATTTTTTTTTTTAATACAAAAATTCCACAATGTGGCAGATAAGTTTATTACTGAGTTAACTTAAAAGCTACAATGCAATTAAAAATAATGTGTTAATGTATTCTCAGGATCAAATCGTTATTAAAAACTAATATCTCCATTTAGTGGATTACTGCGCCAGTTAAATCGTCTCTCCACGAAGCGGCCTCGATTTCAATAATTCATAACCGCACTCTTTTTCTGCATTATTCTATTATTGAAATATTGACTTGAATGTTTATCGAACATTCTAGAATATTTAAGTACTTAAGATACTTTTAACATAAAAGGAAAATTAATTGTTTGGGTTGTTAGTTAAGTTTCAAACAAATGGACGTTTTACAGACTACAAAAATTAAGTATTTTCAATTTTTATCAGTTTATTACGCATGCACTTAACTACTGTATACAGAAAATCTAAAATATTTTGTCCATAAATTTCTTAGACATTAATAAATTACTGTACTTATAGTAATCACCAGCTATATAACCTTTGTTACCCATGCAGGCTTTTGAGACAAAAGTAATGGTGAACACATTCCACTTACGTCCAATATCACATTTTCACATCTCATTCAAATTAGCAATAACAACCCTGTGTTAACCCACTGACAATCCCTGCTTTTAACTATTGATTATGCAGAACTGCAATTAACTTATTTGTGAAAATTACTGTAACTCAACGGCCAAAAGCTTTTTAACAAGTGGATTGGTATACCAAGGGATCAATAACCACTCTGTTTCATTATAATTTTTCCAGACAGTTATAAGTTTTAAAACCATATCCTTTTATTCTGTTATTGTGCTAAAAGAAAGGGAGCACTACCCCGAGCTTCAGAATCCAATGTGGGTTGACTTGTTAATTTTAAAAATATACATTTTGCCCGCTTACACTGACCTTTACTGGAAGTGTTTACCAAATGTTTGACAACCATTTGCATGCTGATAGCTAATGGAAGTGTAGGGTAAGCTACCATCAGTTATACTATATGACACTTATAATGTGTTGTAAATACCACCTACTGTTGACCAATTCACATTTGTGGGAGCACAGGCAAATAATTAGCCACACACCACAAGTGTGGGGACTTGATAGCAGAATGAGCATTTGCAATAGGTGTTATAGAACTGAATTAAATGTAAGCAAAGGCCAAAGACTGGAAGCAGGTTAGTTATCTAACAGATGCAAACACTCCGTTACGAGTCTGAAGCTCAGAGTTGGGGGCACTGAAATTTCATGAAAAGAAACCAAGTAAAACAGAACAGAAATCACTCTTAATGTAGGTTACTGATGAGAGAAAACAGCCAATTACAAATAATATATATAAATTTGAAAAATAAACAATGGTTATAATCATCTTCCAAAAAATCAAGAATAAAAATGTCATCAAAAAATTTACAAGACTCCCACATCACGAACTCCAGCTAGTCTTCAAAATCACAGTATTGACATATTGCTCAGATTGAGTGTAACAGAATTACGAAATCGCACCTTTGACATGAAAATTAAAAAGAGCTACAATGCAATGATTTGAAATACAATACAATATCAAATGTAAATGTTATAATCTTGACCAGCAAGTAACAGTTACATTAATAAGATATTGCTAAGTAGCAGAACATAGGTTTCCAATTGAAAACTTGCAGCAAAAGGATGAGAAATATAAAGAACCTTAAAGATTTTTTTGAAAGTTTTGACTTGTACATAAATATTAACATTGGTAACATAAACCAGTTCAAAAAGGGATAATCAGTTCTACTTTCAGATGGAAAAATCATTACTCATTGAAATTTGGCCCTATGCTGCCTCAAGAGAATGTCTCCTCTTTCTGCAACAATAGTAAACTTGTAGTTAATGCTCATTTCATTCTTCTAAAGTTAACAGAAAAATACTGAGTTTTGTAAAATTTCAAAACAGATCACTGGAAAATACTTTTCATACAGACAAGCTCTGGTGTGCCTGCATATGGACACTTTTACAAAGAACATCAAGTTGAAATTCAGCCTTAACTATGTCTACTAAGAACCTAACTTTAGCTTAACTTGCTTAAAATCTACGTAATTTAACTTTTCACCAAGCACTAAGGCCTCTTGCCTCATTTTTAGGTCTTAAAACTTAATCCTTAGAACAAAATGCATTATGCTAATGGATTTTATGAAAATGTGACTTGACTGCCTTTGGTAAACCAACTTTATTTGAAAGGGCTTGTTCTTAAAACAAACTGGTATTACCCTTTTTGTAAAATGTGGTTCACTTTCAAAATTGCTGTTGAAGTCTCATGAAGACTCGACAAATTTCCTGAAAATGCCAATTATAGAAACTAATGTATCTGACATCAATATGATAAGAATTCATCATGTTTGATATGAAATTAAGTTCCAAACCAATCAGAGAACATAAAACCATTTACCCCTTTGACAATAAATGGCAATTGCTTTTTAGTTTTTAAATTGAAATTAAATTGTACTAAAAGCTTTACTACACGTTGTTTTAAGGAAAAACTAATATCTATGTCATTATTTATATAGCTTTTAAGTCCTAATAGCAAGAGGTAGCTAAAGAAGTGAAGGCCACCCATTTCACAGGACTACTAAGCTATCTATTGACGTATTGACTGATTTTATGTTATATCTACATTTACATGACCATCAGTTTTGATAAATGTGAGAACCCAAGTAATAACTAACCCTAAAAAGTTTTATCCCCAATGTTAATCCCAAGTTCCCATTTGTGCAGTATTATTTTGTTCAAAAGATTTCACCTACATCTACATATTCTTCTGATAACATTCCTTGTAATTCATAAAAACAACCCAATGCTCAAAAATCAAGCAAATCATTCTCTTGGTTCATAGAACCTCTGCTACAGAAATAACAATGTGGTAGTCTGACAACCAGTTCAGCAAGATGCTCTGCAGATTCCTGTTAATTCCCAACCATTGTGGCCTACTTCAGACCTTCATAGGTCAACTTTCTATGTTGTTTTCACTTTCATTCATGGTGTCTAAGTACTTAAAACACGTCTTTTGTACAGACTTGGAAACGACAGAGTTGCACCTCACTTAAGCACTTGCTCCGAAGCAGGTAAAACCTTCACAAAGCATGCAGAATGATGATGGATCTTCAACCTTAGTACCTTTCAGTAGATAACCTCACACATATATCAGTGAGGTCCTGGTGTGACTACCCACCCTCCCTCACCACAATGTCCTGGTAGATGTCCCTCCCAACCTCCCCTCAAGTTATTTTGGTGACAGAACAAAGTTTTTTCTCTCTCACACTCTTGCCCATTGGAGTCCCTCCCAGCTTCCCTGAAGTTTGTGGTGTCAGGACATGTGTGTGGTGCCCCTCCCGGCCTCCCTGAAGTTAGTGGTGAAAGGACATTTGCCCATGGTGCCCCTCCCGGCCTCCCTGAAGTTTGTGATGAAAGGACATTTGCCCATGGTGCCCCTCCCGGCCTCCCTGAAAACACGGATGTTCCCTCCCGGCCTTCCCAGAGTAGCATTGCCCTGGCTTAACACCCTGGTTGATGACTTATGCTGCACCAGTTGCAGTCATCGGTGATGAATCCCCCTTCCTGAAACCAAGAAATAAAGTACAATTAGAATAAAACAGGTTTTTGTACATTTGGTGCTGACTGCAAATTAACTACATATAACCTGAAATTTCATCAGCTGTACTATAAAAGGCTATTATTTTTGCTGCAATCAAAGTTTTATAAAAAAACTTCACTCATATGCACCTGACCTTGCTAAAACCTCATCCATAATTGGCAATACCTTAAGAAGCCCTGGTCATACACTGTACTGCATTGCCAAGCGCTCTCGCAGTGGCAGGGGAAACTGGTCAGAGAAGCGTCGCCAATTTTCTTCACCGACCTGGTTCTTAAACCCATGTAATATCTATAAAAACAACAAATACATATTGTTAAATCCCACGCTTTCATGGATCAATCCTTCTACAATAGACTAAAATCACAAGGGTCATATTACGAATACAGCAAAAACAATCATCCTGGTGGTCATTGTAATAAAAATAATTAATCATTCCCTTGTATAACCTTAGAATCATCATCTCATACATTAAATCATGAAACAGAATGCCACCACTGCAAAAAACTTGATACCTTAACTAATTCATTGTCCTGCATGACTAAAATAATTGAAATGTTTGGAACAATAATCAAAATCATTGACAAATGTATTCAGTTTTAATAAACAACTTTCTCTTATGTAACAAAGCTATCGAATCAAAGGTCCAGTACCGTGCAGAACATTTTCTTGAGGTCCTCCTTGGGGTGCACCCAGGATGCCACAGCATCACAGAAGAAGATAAAATCCTGGACTACTCCACCAGGGTTCACACTGATCATCTGACACACACCACGGAACGCGGAGTCCTTCTCCTCATTGTCACGGATATTCCGCAACGAGGTGCACCTAAACCAAAGTAATACATTTCAATAGGGTGGTCCTAATATTTATTTCTTCATTTGAAAATAATGTCAAGCATGGCCTATCAATTTCCTTGAAAGGAGCAGTACATAACCTCAGCCACTGTTTTCATGTTTGACAAATTACGGGAGTTTCATCATTTTTTTTTTTCTACAAAAAAATTAAGAACAAAATTGTTGTCTCACATTCCTTTCAAGTCGAATAAGAGTCCATGCTTTAAAAGGGAAAAAATGTAATTATTGCTTATTTAATTTTTATGTTAGTAAAAAAAAATCTTTAAGAACTGATTACTAAATTTTGGTCTCTTTATTCGTCCTACAACACAAACATTACTTATGACACAGTAAACTGGACTGGACATTACAATAATAACATTCAACAAGATTGATGCTGATTAGAAAAAGCATTAATCAAAGACCACTTTCTCCAAAATTAAATTCTAGTGTTGAAAATAAGAGTATAAAATTCAAAAATAAATAAAGTGTTTACACACCATTGCCTGATAAACTGTTGTAACATAGGGGCGACTTCTTGTGGACATACTAAACCAAGGCGACCAATAGTTATGGCTACGTTACCATGGTAACAAGACGAGACGGGGAGCAAATGTAAATGGGAAGAAAAACAGAGAAAGACACAAATCAACATAAACATATACAAAGCAAATCAAATTGTTTATAATCATTCATCAAATCATTGAGTAACCTGTAGATATATATATATAGGCAACCAAAGAATTTGCAAAGAGTGATGTGTACATACAATGACTACATTTAAAATCAAAAGAGTTCTCATCACGAGCCCCCAGCACGTTGCTTGAAATTACTGACATCATCGTTTACTGCATAATCAGGGCTACAGCATCACACCAAACACCACAGGTAACTAACAACTACAGCTTTAAAGCTAAGTGCATGTGTTGGCCTGAGTAGAAAATATATGCCATTCCCCAATTTGGCGAATCCTGCTTCCATATTTGCAGTAAATGTTAAAACTTCAAACTGGTACAACTTCTCAAAATTTGTATGTGACTTTAAATATGATAATTTCAGGCGAACATATGTACCTGGAACTTTTAAAAATATACATCTCAAAAAGATACATTTTGCTATCCAATCCCATTACAATGGTGGGTAAAGCTAATTTCTATGAGAAAATAATAATAATAATAATAATAATAATAATAATAATAATAATAATAATAATTACTACACCCAGAGGCAGCAACAGGTGTCTGAGGATAGTGCCGGTCCCATCAGTGCAGTGCCAAATCAAACCTTCACACAGGAAGCAACGAGGTAAGAGAGACAAGCACAATCATCCAAGGTTGGCAAACCAAACACTAGCACTACAGATCACTACTCAATCAGAACGATCAGAATGCAAAGCCAGCAGTTTATAAGGTGTTCATCAAAATACTTCTACCCCGACCCCTTCTCCCATAAAGACGTTGAAATAATAAATTTTCAAACAAACAATGCACCTATAAATCTAAAAATAAAAACATCTGGTGGTAGAACCACTCATTTCAGGGGAATCTTTTGAAGTTCTCTCCCAAGTTTTGATTTGGCACCCCCTGACTCTCAGCCCATGTTCATCTTACAACCCTTTCCATTCAGTGTTGTCAACTCTGTGCCCAATATAGCTCTGTGCAAAGGTGGTCAAACTGATCTCCCTTCGGAGGCAAACCATACCCCAATTGTATCTGTACCTTTTTTATTCTAATAAATGTTTATTGTCAACCATTGAAGACCACACATATCTTGGCAGCATTTTGCAAGCTATCAGAAAATTCTGAAAGGAACCTACATTATCAGCAACTTTCAGAACCATTGCAATCCTTTCACATGTGAAGGTAGTATTGAAACACACAAACAAAAAAATTCTGACCATCTTTTAACAGTAGTGTGTCTAGTTCAGTGGGCAGTCTTGGCACTCATTCAACACATCACCCTAACTGTCGCTGCTCTGTAATAGATAAAACTTACCTGTGTTCTCTAACAAGGTCTTGGGAGTATTGGGGCGATTGATTATGTCCACGAGTTGGGTCATCACCATTTGGACATATGGACGCATATCAGCACCTGCAACATGAACTTTAAAATTTTAAAGGAACTGATGGAATAAAAATAAATCATAAGCAGTCTTGTAATTTTCAATAGTGAAAATCCAATAAACAGAAAAATCTTTATAAGTTTTTTTACTGCCTTGACATGGTAAGTATTTTGACCATGCACCATGTTCTAGTTCAACTTACCCATCTGTATAGAGATTTCTCCTATTGCCCACGTAGCATTATTGCACACAGATATGAATTCTGGATTTAGATTATTGGCCAGAATTGGCATATAATCCCCTGTAAATGAAAGGCGACAGTTATTAATTCCCCATTCAACCAGCAATCAAAAACATCTAAAGCAACAACTTTTAAGTGTGACTGGTTTATATAATCCAAGCCTTGATTACAAAATTTATTAATTTGAATATTCCTTTCTGGTTGAAAACTCAAACTAGGAAACAAAACAACACTATGATCTACCAAAAAGCCTCACCTTACAAAGTAAAATCAGAGAAATGATTACTTTTGGATATGCCAAGGTATTCCCTACCTATAAAAGGTTTGACATGCTGAAAGCATGCTTTAGTGAGATCTCCTAGAAGAGCAAAAGAGCTCTGTCGCACCTCTGGCATTGGGTCCTGCAATACAACATCTAAAGTCAAAGCAACAGCAACTACCATTATATAAACATAGTATGCAGCTAAAAAATAACCACAAATCATAGGCAAGGGAAGAGCTACAAAATCTATCAGTTGGCAAAAAAACATCAATCTATAATTCTGACACATTTTGATAAATTATCACTTTTATTCAAGCCTTTCCTTTTTCGTGCTTTACTTCACATAATATCATTTAAAAAAAATCAAAGCCTACAGTGCAACTCCTCAAAATCAAACAATACATTTTTAAGAAGACAAAGACACATTCATCGCACAAAAGAGAAATCTTAACCTTCAGGCAATGTGGTAAAGTATATCAAACACACCTGGTGAAAACATGTCAAAGAATCAAAAGAGAGTGGAGTTTACCTCGCTATGTACCAGGTTAACTATGCAACTAAGCTACCTTATCTAGCCTGCTATATGTTAAACACACCTCTAGTGGAGCCAAGCTGCACCTCACCTGCATACACTGAAACAGTAGCTTTAGGATACCACTGTTGGCAACCAGGGCCTCTATATGGTGCTCCAGGCCCTCTGCGAGTCCACTTAATAAATCCAGAGCAACTATCATGAAGTCTTTGTCTGGTGGGTCAAACTGCTCAGGGCTAGTCATGTTAGCCTGAAGGAAAAAAAGACAACATAAAAAATGTGCTAAGAAATACTGAAATGACTTGATATAGGATATTGTTTATAAAACCAAGATCTGAAACATTTTTTAAAGAACATTATTAAGCAGTTAAATGCTGAATGTTTTGGTTTTAATTTTAATCATGCATTTTTTTAAAGCAAAGCTCCAATTTCTCAAATGAAGTGGTTGACAACAAACAAATCATTTGATTAATGTGATCTAAACAAAACTCTGGGAAATAAAACAGCAAGTCCAGCATACTTACATAGCTCTGTGTGAGTGTCTGTTCAACCAGAGAAACACACCTTCTGAACACTGGCTCACAATATGGCAGAAATCCTGACTGCAGAGCTGTGGCCACACTCGACAGACACTATAAGAAATTGAACAATTCTAAAGAACAATACCTGTAACCATATTTACATCTTGCATGCAGCATCTCAGGTAGTTCAAGTTAAGTCCTATGCACAGACATTTAAGACAAAAACTGTACACAGGTTACTTGATCACTTGTTATTTTTTTTTTTATTGAATTCTTAATATCAACCTCAATTAAAATTCTAAAACTTTCAATAAACTAATTGGCAAATCAATCAAATTGACAATCACACATATTGTTTAGTTATAAAAACTAAGCTGTGACCTAGCTCCAGGGGTTTCCCAATTGTCATCAATTTACAGGAATTTCATCAAAATTGTTGATCTGGGGGTCGAACTATAAGTTTACTGTCATTTCCCAAAAATTTCATAAGGCATCCAGCCATCTTTGAAAATGTAGGCCATCTTTCGAGGTCAGTGGCCACTGAAATGACTGCTGGGCGGCTATCTAGGGAAAGCTTTCCCTAGCTTATATAATAATCAGTTACATAACTTTTACTTATGCATTAAAGAAAATATGATTGAGCACAGCACATTCAGTAGGGTAGAGTTGTCACTCACATGTGTTCAGTGAGAGAGTTCAGAAGTCATCATCCTGTGCTGTGAGGAAGCTTTTCAGGTGTGATTTCTTACTTCACACTCAACAAATAAAATGTTGAAATGCTTATGAAATTCAAAAAGAGATGCCCACCATTTAAATTCTGAATTTCTTTTGTTTAACTTCACTAACCTCTAATAATGGGAACAAATCCTTGTCTTCATCCTTCAGCACATTCCATTTCTGAATCAGCGGAGGCATTAATAGACTGATGTACTCCTGAAAATAAAAAGCATGAGTCAAAGTAACAAGAACACTATAAAATATTTTTGTTTAAACAACAATCAATAAACATGCACAGTCAGGTTCGTAGACTTCTCTACATGTACTTTCAGTAAGAGAGAGTTCTTGTTTCATCATATGTGCAGAACAAGACAATTCAAATTTTTATTTATTTGTTAAATCACTTACCGGCTTATTTAAATGGTGCCCCACAGAGTCTGCTAGTGTTCCTATGGCATCATACAGAATGAGTAGATTTTTGTGCTGAAAATGAAAAAGATGACAACTTAATACCTTCTATATCTTTAAGTCAACAAAATATCCATTGGCTAGTAAGTCTCGTGTAAATCTAGGCTGTGATCAGACAGTACGAATACAAAGTGATGCTTTCACAGAGCAAGCTCTCCCACTTAGGAATGTCATCATACCAAGCCAATGGGATGATATATCATATTTGGAATGTTCTTTATTAGGCAACCATAATCCACACATTCAGACTGGGTTCACAAACTAAATTCAAATACTTTAAATAAAAAGAGCACAGTTTGGTGGCTTCACCTGATACTTGTTAAAAGCATAGACCAGAGTTTCCAGGATAAAACCAAGGTAAGGGACTAGTTCAGTGCAGGCCTCCTCCTCCAGAGTGGCAAAGGCCGAGCAGGCAGCTTCTTGAACACGCTTGTTGGCATCCAAGACGCGCTTCAAGAGCTGAAAGATTTAAAACACATAGTTATATTGAATTATCACCAAAAAATATACAGGTATATAATACCAATGAAAAGTACACTATAGCAATAATTATATGAAAAGTCATGCTGGCTGTTTACGTATGGACAACGTTTTAGGGTTCCTTGGTGCATTTTCACAAAATTTCTCCCCCCCCCCAAATATAAAATGTTGTCTACAAAATTTTAAGTTCATAATGCACAATCAGATTCGTCAACTTTCCATTCAATTGTTTTTCAGTGAGAGAGTTCTTTCTCATCATTTGTGCACATAACTTTCAAAACCTTACAAAACTTTAAAACAACCACAATGACTGATCATCTCTTCTTTTGAATAATGATGAAATTTCAACCTACACAGAAAATCAAAAGGCAAAGGGTGCATTTCCCACGAAACTACCAAACTACGTAGATCTATTCTCGCTTGGCTTCTGGAAGCTTTATCACTTCGCTTCAAGTGCTACCATTCCCACATGAAAGTTAATCACCCTCTTGCTCTTTGAGGAGGCATTTCATTCAGTTAATCTAATTGTACTCAGCAAATGTCCTTGCCGAGTTGGATCAATCAGACATGAGCCAAGGTTTAAAAAAAAAAAAAAAAAAACTCTGAACATTTATCATGGGACTCAACACCTAACCTGCCGGAAATCTCAGGAACCATCAGAATTGAATTAAAAAACACACAATTCCGTGTTTCCGTGGAAAAAAAAACTCATGTCTGATCTATCTACCTAGTACGATAGTTTAATTGGGAATGCACCCCTAGAACTGTACTAGCAAACGCCCATCTTCTTGACAACTTACTTCAGTCATTAAAGGTTTGAGATATTGGTCGTGTGGCTGACCAACCACCCAGTGGGCATATCTGCTCAGTGTCCAGCAGGTTATGGACCTCACCAGTGCCTTCTTGTCAGCCAGACAGGAGATCAAGTAGGGAACAAGTTCTGGGAGATGGGGAATCATTCCATTCATACAACCTGAGACAGAACAAGATATAATCATTCAGAATGAAAAGGCATATCAAATTCAGCTGTTTCCACTAACTTGATAATTTGCATCTGCTTTTTAACAATATGCCATCCTGATTTTGGTTCTAAGATACCTTGATGCCTATGTTGCAAATCTTAAAATGCAATATCATTAGCAATTTTTCATCCCCAACACCGTAAAAAAATTATCAAACCCAAAAAGCCCTACCTTCTGCAATTGCACCAAGCACCAATATGCCAGATTCTTTGATCTCCCAGTCTTGGTGAAACAATGTTTCTTTGAGAATAGGCAACACAATGGGCAGTAAATCATCTCTGAACACATTGGCTAAAACATCGAGGCCGGCAGCTGAACATTTTCCTAGAAAAAAAATAACAATAATAATTCAAATGTTGCTAAACTATTGCAGCAAATATAGTGCTTAAAACAGAAGTTATAGCAGATATTTTTTGTCTGCATTACAAAGTATTGTTAAAGGGATAATAACTCTTTGTATGAGATCTATATTTTACAATAAAAACATTGTGAATAACTCATAGAAATATAATATATTCTGTTTTACCACAAAAAACGGGAGTTATAGCTATTATTCTGATATCTGAGCTTGTCTTTAGACTACGTGACCTCCATTGATGGCTATACTCTGTGAAAATCTCTTAAGAGATTTTAACAAAAAACCAAACTTTTTAGAAAAAAACCAGGGACTAACTTTGAATGTAAAAATGGATTTAATAACCATTGGTTAGTATGGGAAAATTGTTGTTTACTTCAGGAAAATTCATTTTTTGGCCGAAACGAAGAGTTATTATCCCTTTAAATGCTAAACAAAAAACATTTCTTCCCAGCATTGTTTCACTTTATATTTATTGTTATAAAGCAGTCAGACAAATACAAACCAGCCAGTAACAACCAACAGAATGCAAACTTACTCAAATTCCAGTCTGACAAAGCATCATCATCATCCAGTCCATCATCTGAGACATCATCATCCTCAGGGTCTCCTCCCTCCTGATGTTTCTGTGTGTGACTCTTGGACTTATGGAACCTTGGCTTTATGTCAGACTCCTTGTCTGGGATCATGTCATCTTCCTCAACATCTCCCTGGAATGAAAAGTATGTGTCATTTTCTGTCTACGCAAAAGAATTTCACTCATCTTAAGGACATCCTTCATATCAATATGATCAATCAAATTCCAACACAATCCGAATTACCCACGCATAATTACCTTTAATAAAATAATATCAATCTCTGAGTACTTCATCCCCCTGACCAGCACAGGAACCAGTTTCTCTATGTGTGGTGCCAAGACCTCTCTGCACACAGGCTGCTCTGCTATGGAAAGCCAGTATTCACAAGCCTCCAGGGCCACACTGTCATCTGGGTCCTGTGTCCTCAGCAACATGTACTAGAAATACAAAATCAAAAATCAAAGTCAACTCTACTCCAAGTACATTTCTACATACAGCACTAACACATTATCTATCTAAAACACACAATTAGTATATTTCCTACTTGTTTTCCTATGTCTAGATATTTGATTTTCCATGCATACTCAGTCTCAACAACATGAAATCTGTCTACATTTCTTTAAGAGGAAACACACACACACACAGAGGAAAAAAAGTGACCTTACCTCCACAATGTTGTTCATTTGAGGCATGAGCCGGTCCATCCGCACTTCAACAAGCATGACCAAAGCCCGACAAACATTTTTACGGACTTCAGGATCTTCATCTCCAGCCAGGAAAAACAAACTCTACAAAAACAAATAAACAATAAATGTGATAATAACGAATGAATGAAAATAATCACAATACCATTTATTTAATCAAATAAGGATTGTCCCTATTCGCAGACAATGTCTATTATTCTCCTTTTTTAAAAACAACATTGATTCATCCAATTTTAATCTACCTAAATGCCTGTCTATTCAAATTAAATCACCACTAATGTAAACAAAATCGTAATATTTGCTCACCTCAATGAAAGAGTCAATGTGAATCATTAGGGCTTGAGTCCGTGTGATAATAAACTGGTTGACACATGCAATGGCATGGGACCTTAAAATAATGCCAGATTCATCAATCATGGCTCGGCACAAAAACACAACTTTTTTTATCAGCAATGCGACTATCGAGGCTCAGATAGGAGTTAAAAGTCATTCCTACCACAATAAATAAGAAATATAAAGATATTGCTCAGAAAGACAGCATTGACATGTGGACCATTTACAGACCAATTATTAATACATGAAAGCAAAGTCTTACCTTATCTTAGGACTGCTGTGCTTAAAAAACTGTAGAAACTTGGGAATAAGTACATTGAGAGGACGGTTAAGTGCATCACTGTCCAACGCTTCAGCAGAATCTTCACAAATCTTCTGCAAAGCTCCAAATGCACCCTGGAATTGTAACAGAGGCAGATGCTAAAGGAAATGTGTTTCAAAATACAATAATCATGATATCAATTCATTATCCCCCCATTTTTGTTAGACATGGAAGACATGCAATTTATCACTTTGTTTCTTTTGTAATTCCCTGGTGTAAGAAAAATATTAACTTAAATGCTAATGGCTTTTTGTTCCAAATAATGACACAGCAAAAAGCAGAATTAATTGTCCCCCCTACTATACAAATATTCCAAAAGAATGATAAAGGGCAATTTACTAGAAATAAACATCGTAGTACCGTAGTGTATCATCCTAAGGCAAACAATAAGTCAATATGCCTATTTCTTTCCTTTGTGTACACAGAACAGCAGGTGCCACACATTTTATGGATAATAATTCATAATAAATGAACCATGTTACATCCAGCATGTAAAATGCTAAGCTCTGCTTACAAATTGTGATTTCTGCAGTATGTTGCTATATGCTTCCTGGATGTATTTTTGTGGTGTCAGAGAATATCAGATAAAGAAAATGGTCCATGGGTGAAGGCAAGGAGGTCAAAAAATGTTTGTACCAAATCAAGGTGGATCTGACTTAAAGTGGAGAAAATATCAAAAATCTCATCTGTTTCCTGGAGCAGTTTAAACCTTCATAGCCAAACAGTAAAAGAAAAAAAAATGCAATGCATTTTGCAGCTACTTTTACAAATTCAGTGTGTTAACTTTCAAACAACTAGTAGACACTACTCTATCAGATTCTAGGCAAGCATTTAAAGGCCTCCATGGCATGCAGATCTTTTACAGTTCAGCCAATGTCTGGGTAAGGTATCACTGTCTGGCTCAGGTGAGAGCCCAATATATCTGCAGTCAGGTTTTCAAGCAAATCAATACTTGCCTATAATGGAGGCATTGATTGCTGTAATACAACACTACTTGTTCAGCGCAATTCATTAGGCCCCAGTCAAAACTACAAATACAGGGCCAATTTCCTTTAAGTTGTATACTGGTGCAGTCAGTTTAGAAACTGTTTAACTATGGCCTAACAACCAATATGACTGAAAAAATAAAATTACAAAGAAAGGGAAAAAAATTGGATAAAAGCTTCAGCAAATGGTTCTTGCACTCTATATCATATTAACAACTTTCAGCTTACCTCGCAGACATTATAATCCTCAGAATCCAAGTACTGGCAAAGAGTAGGGAGGAGCTCTGGCCAATTAACCAGCTCTCCTTTAGCAGAGATAGTAGTGATAAGAATTCCAATTGTGGCACGGATGAGAGGAGAAGGGTCGCCGATGCTTTTCAAGCATTCTTGTTTGATGAACTGGCAGACTTCTTGTGGGCATTTGTGGTAGTGTGCACGGACATTGTTCTTCAGTATTAGGCCTGCCAGGGAACGAGTGGGCTCATCTAAAAAAATAGTGTACTTTTGAAATAGATAAAATCATACCAACCCACATAGAGTTAATGCCAAAACCAACTTAATACAGAAAAAGATTGAAATTCAATATTTAACACAAATGTACAAGAAATGAAGCACCCTTGTGTTCATTATTCAAACACATCCATATTTCTCATTTCCAAATTCTACTTTTGAACTCCCACACCCAATCTTGCAAGTCTGCCTTAAGGATTTTATTCCTTCTCTTTCTTTTTTTGAAAAGCAAAAAAAATTCCTTTCCTTTCATTTTGTATTCAATCATCATGTGATGACGAAATTGATCTCTAACCCCATCAACAGAATACTTAACCAAAACACTAGCCATCAACATGATCAAAGCGTAAATAATCACTTAGAATGCAATTTTTATTTTTAGGAGAAAATGTAACTCATATTCAAGGGCTCATCTTTACAAGTAACTTCATTTTCGTGTGCACCACTGCATAGTCCCTATTGTATATCACTTGCACCTCAGGGCACACACCCAAGTTTGATTAATCAATAGCCTAAATGAGTTCCCCTTGTAACTGTTGCCACTACAAATAGCAGGGCAATCAATGATAGACTATCCACCATGCTGCCTTGTACACACTTCATAAGTTCTACAATCCATGGTCAGAACCATGTCTAAGACATCTTTGGAATTATACACCGAGCCATATTCTTATCTGCAGAGCTCACACTGCACCTAGGATATTATAATATGCAAGAGGTCTTTAAACAAGGATAAGTAATGGCATACAGAAGATTTTATTGATCTTCTCACCGCAGGAAGCTATGTGCTCTGTTGATTTCCCTACAGATTATTGTAAGAAAAACCAGTACCATTGCAGCACAAAAGATCTGCTTAGCCAAGCAGCAATGAAGATTGATTAATGCTGGCAAGCTACAGCACATTGTCACTGGTCGCACGCAGTAAATCCTATGTATTGCGCTCACACAATCACTGACAATTCCTATTTATTATCCTTACAGCTAACATACCTTTTATCACAACAAACAAACCTTTGTTTAAACCAAGAAAAATAAAAAACTTGCCTTAGAACAAGTAAAAGATTCTTACCTTCACTTGTCAGCTTCGTCAGCACGAAAATTAAATAATTGTTGAAGTCTGGATATTTATTCAGTTCTTCAAGTTTCTGTTAATTAAGTCAAGGCATTTCAATGTTTGTCAAGTTACTAGTACAGTCATATATCACAAGTAGTAGGAAACTTTTCCAGACAAAGGCGAAAAGTGGAATATTCATTTCAGTATGTAACCGAGTTCTTTTGTTATAACGAGAAAAACATCTATGTGTAAATGTATAAACTCACAGATAAATCAAAAGTTTAAAATGTTAACACATATATGTAAATTACATCACAAGTTTAAAGCAGAACACAGCAGGATTTTATGGTTAGCATCACAAAGAAATGACTGAAAGTTGTGATAAAAACTGAACTCTTAGCTGTTCATTATGATCAAATAACTTCAAAATTCATAAAACCATGCATAATTATGGTAGACTAAACTGAATTTTTTAAAACTTTAACAACAACGAGAAACTCTACTACCTTTATAACTAAATACTGGTATATAAATAAACATAAAAATGACAAAGTGGTGGATTGTTAATACAAAATATTCCCTTGAAACCATTTTGATATTTTACAAGTTTCAAACATTAACTAATTACTGTTTCTATTAAAAGTATGTAACAAAACTTGTTTTCTATATATCATTTGAACACAGCAAAATTAACATCACTAGCAATAATAAATAAGATTAAATGGAAAAATACTATTTACATTATTACTAATGTAGGCCAATAGAGTAAATGTGGTTTATTTAGCCATTCAAGTAAACTGGATATAAAAAAATACTCATTCTATAAATTTTACATAAGAGTACGTCTAGTTTCTGCAACGAATGAGAATCTATACATACAGTATCTTTTTTGTTTTTCTTTTCTTTGCAGAGTTATGTGGTTATGTCACTTAAGATAACCACTTAACAAATACCCTTGGAAAGATTCAAAGAATGGTTGAGTAACAAAACATTGCAACATTAGATCCTATGTAACATATATTCAATAAAATGAATGAATCTAAGCTGACAGTACGAGAGACAGCAATTCCAACAAACATGCAATTGATTAAATTTTAAATGACTTAGCTGGTGTTCCTTTTATTTCAAAAATGGAAATGCTGACCGGCGATGTTGCCCCCCATCATTAATTTTCAAAGACAAAGAAATAGCAAAAAAAGGTGTTTTCCAAACGCGCGTTTTACGCTCAGGGCCGCTGATTGCTATACCCTGTTTTAAGAAACATTCGCTAAAATTGCGAAGAACCTGTCACATTTTCATAAACTGGTGTGTCTAGAAAGATCCATACACGTGCGTTCCTCTTTGAAATAAGAGAGCATTTCAGATTACCTTCATGTTTCACCATCAATTTTGTCAGATCAGAAGCAATGTTTCACAAGATCAATATTATGTAAGTGTAAACATGTAAGGATACTTGCTGGACAGCTCTCTGGGTGGCTGTATCTGGTGACTGTGATTCTTTCAAAAGCTGTAAAATCTGCCGAAGGCCGTTTTCCTCTGGCTGCCACGCCATTTTTGCTTCTTTTGCTCGTGCGGCACCGGAAATAGTCGGAGATAACGTCCTTTTTTATGCGAATTATAAAATTTTATTCTTATGTTGTATATTTCTCAATACAGTAAAACACCTAATACTGTATGTAAAAACTCAACTTTACCACAGATACTTCTTTTAAATAATCTTTTACGAAAATTACCGAAGAGAAGGCTTTTGGAAATATAAAAGAAGCAAAATGATTGGTCGTTAGACTGTCACTAAATGGAATATTTCACGTTTTCTCATTTTTTGTAGCTTAAGATGATGCAAAAACCTATATAAGAAGTATAAACTTCGAGAATTACTTCGAAAAATAGTGAATATAACAGTTAGTAAAGGAATATATTTTAAAGATTTGGATTTTAAGATGAATGAGTTAGCCAATAGCGTAAGATCTTTCAATGGAACTTCGGAATGCAATTTAGGATTTGCACATGCGTAGCACGTGCTTCTATTTTCAAAACAGTAAAATTAGGTCATCCTGACTCAGCTGCAAATTTACACAACTATTTTCGGTGATTATCACAAACAAAGCTTGAACATTCCATCAGAAGGAAAGAAGACAGGTAACATCAATGTGTGCACTGCAAAGTTTTCGACCAAATGAATTTTTGGAAACGGTGAAGTTTTCTTGATGCTATTCTTGATTGATTTTGATTGCCACTTGGATTGAATTGATTGATATTTATCGCGCGATTTTTATCAGGTAATGGTAGCAGTATAAATTAACAGTAATGAATATTAACACTAGAGGTTATACAAATTACTAAAAAAAAAACAAAGGAAAAACGTAAAATGATAAAGAGACATATACTAAGACTTAGTAGTAGTAGTACATTGTACTTGTACGTGTAAGAGCGCATTAAGAACAAGATGATACGTGGACTAAGGGGCCATTCAGAATGAGAAGATTCGAGTGCTAACTGGTTCACGACCTAAACATGGCATACCTACTTAAAAGGAAGACCGCTTATGCCTGTAATGGTCTCTCCGCCTCGTATATGCCTCCCCATGCATCGTCCCTGCAGGGGCACAGTAATTAAATCTCAGCTCCATTTGACCAGACGCGTGGAAGGCCTATGAGAGGCGGAGAGACCATTACAGGAATAAGCGGTCTTCCTTTCATGTATGTCTGCCATATTTAGTCTATGGACCAGTTAGCATTCGTATCTTCTCATTTTGAATGGCCCCCAACAGATCTGCGGAATAAATATGGCTGACCCACCTAAAAGCGATGACACTAATTCCCTAATGGTTGCCCCTCCTTCATGCATGCCTTTAAATAGTTTAAATCTTGGTTCTGAGGTTCAGTTGCTAGGCCTCAGCAGTGACGACGTGTCTAGAGGCGGGGAGACGATATATACCCCATGTTACTTGAGTTTATATTAACATTGGGCACATACAGTATATTTAAAATTTATTAATTATTCATTGGATTTGGTCTGATGTGATGGTTTTAGCAGGAATGTATAATGTTATGTTGATGGTTTTAGCAGAAACATCTAATATTATGTTATTTTGCCACCTACTAATAGCATTATGAAGAGCAAAGATTTTTGTCATTAAATCAAATAGACATGCTGATAAATTAATACAACTATGGTGTTGAACCTTTCATACTTTTTGAAAATTCTATTATACCATTACTTACAAGATAGCTACATATTTGTTGATAGTAAATTGTTGTTGCATGTTTGTTTCCAGTATGACAATCCCATAATGTCAGTGACCCAGGACAATACCTGTACCTCTGTAGATATGAACAAATCAACAGCTAGGGCAGAACCTGAGGGAAACCAACCCATAAGCCTAGACACCCTTCCGCCTGAGCTGTTTTTATGTATCTGTGATTATTTAGATGCCAAATTTGTCATTAAAACCTTAAGTCTTGTTTGCAAGGCATTTCACAGTACTATCAGTGATGATAGTACATGGAAAATTCGTATTGGGAAAAGATGGCCCAAAAGGTACCCTGTGATACCAGGTAAGAAGCTGATTTTCAAATTGAAATTCAAAAGAGACTCAAAGTGTTACGAATGTTAAAGTATGCATTACCACCAATCTCTTTGAAAACATGTCTAAGCAAAGAATGAAAACATTTAATTGTTAGAGGGATATATATATCTTTTTTTTATTTTAAATAAGGATTAGGGAGAACTAATTTTAGGATTTTTAATTCAGGAAAAAAATGTATACCAAAATTTTTCTTGTGTATTTTGTTGCTTTATATAGTTCGTCAAAATATTTCAGTGGATGACTCCAATTTCAATTGGAAAAATGCATGTATTCAGAGAGAAGAGCAGCATAGGCTGTGGTCTAATTGGAAAGAAAACATGGACCATTTTGTGTTTCGTGAAGGCCTATATGCTCCAGTGGATGTTGTGCATTTGATGAAGGTAATCACATTCACAACTGACGTCTGTTTCAGTTTAAATATAATTAATATAGGCACAGCCTATATATATAATGCAACAATTCCAATTGTGTGTGTGTGTGTGTGTGTGTGTGTGTGTGTGTGTGTGTGTTTGTTTATGAGACGGCTTTTAAGTATTTGTAGATAGACATATTGGAATGTCATATTTGCAGGGCAGTCAGTTGCTGGCGTCTGGTTCTCGGGACCGTTACCTCAACCTACTAGATCTTAACAAGCTGGACCCAGACAATCCTAACAGTGCCAAAGATGTCAGGATATGGAATGTGATGAATGCGCACAAGGTAAATGATCTGAATCTTTCCAACAACAAATAACTGTATCACATCTGCCACATGTATAAATGCACTGAAATTGGTTATCAGTTGTCATATGTGTACTTTAAAAATGTATTGTAGAGTGTAAAAGAGCTTGTTGGACCTTATAGTTAGATTTATTTATTTAAAAAAATTGATCAATGTCATGTTAATAAAGGTGTTGTGCAAGGTAACATTACCCCACATTTTCTTCCTGTAGGTAATTTCATTTTCCTAGAAATCCCTAGGGGCTTACAGTCAAATAAGAAATGGATAAGGGTAGATAGTATAACTATGGATGATATGTATGTGATAGATACAATACGAGTCGCTGAGCTGTACGTGAAATATTACGAGTGTATTGGCGAGCCGCAGGCGAGACAATACACGAGTAATTTTCACGTACAGCTCGGCGACGAGTGTTGTATCTGGCTTAAACCACGGCCTCTGATTGGCTACTACACTAGTAGTGCAAGAGACCGTGGAACGCAAGTTCGTACATGACGTGCTTGTATGTCGAATACAGCACGGCCGAGTCTTTTGTTCTACGCGCTAGCCGTGGTTTAAGTCTACCTGTTCCATGTTTGTATTACCAATAATGATAAAGTTAGCTACTTTCTTTCAAGGGCTGGATTTGGTCCATGAGCTCTTTTGACGACACATTACTCACTGGATCCTGGGATACATATCTCTCACTCTGGGACTTAGCAGGTGGTGGAGTGCCAAAGAGCAGAATAAAGTATGTGACAGAAAAAAAATTTTTTTTTTTT